ATATATGAGTCTAGCTGTTGTTGTTAATACCGAGAAAATAAAACCAGTTTTTAGTGGTATATGTAGTTATAGTAGCAGCAGAAGCACTTTGTGAAAATTTCGAAAACTATCTAATGACACACAGACGGTAAAAAAAAATTTCTAGTATTATTCATACACACAGATAATAAACAAATATTATTAATAATAAAATACCACGTCTTTACTTTGAATTATGCAAACACACATGCACCGAAGTTTAAACACAAGCGTAAGTAGGTAGGTACCTACCGTATCATGATTCATTCAGAACCGCATATAACTACCTATTTCAATCGTCGCAATAACTTTCCGTTACTCTATTCGCTTTATTTATAAATCCAAACACCTTTTTTTTCGTGAGATAAAAGGAAATACTCATCCATTAAAAAGACACATATGTACGTACCTACTAGTAAGTAAAATTATTTTATAGTCTTACCTTTCAGTTTCTAGGTAATTTAAAAAAACTTATGTCTGGATGCGTTATTGACGAATTCATACATCCAAAAACAGCACAATATTTCCTACTCGTCATATTAACTGATTTTTAGAGAAAAAATCGCGCGGTTATTGTTAAAAAAACAACACACCGTCCGTTCGACACTGCGGTACAGCCGTGACTGTCTGCGCCCCGAGCGCACCCCGAGATCGAGGCGCGTAGGTATAGCTCGCGTTTCGTCCGTTTGTATGAAGTTGGAGTACTGTATTATAATAGTACCGTGCTATAAGTGAGGATTTGTTATTGGCTATCTGTTTTCTTGACTGTTTTTATTGTGATCATCATAGCTGTAAATCCTCCATAATTGTAATAAATAAATAAATAATTAAATTACTTATTGTGCATCGAGCTTGGCACCGACTTCAAACAGACTAGAAGGGACTATTGGTATTATAATGTTACCTGTTACATTGAGGGTATTTATTATAGTTTTTTACTTAGATTTGTAATTATTTTTTAATTTTTAGTGCTCTTTGTTGGTGTTGTTTGAAGTCGGTTCAACTTTTTTTTAAAAGGGTTTATTTTACCATTTTTAGTGTAGGATATGTTTGTAATGAGTAGATAAGTACGATATTTAAAACACTACGTACCGTAATGTATAGTAACAAACTGTAGTTTGTTAGATTATATTAAATATTATATTAAATTACTGCTGGACATAGGCCTCTCCTTAGAAAGTTGACCCACACAAAATTTAAGAGTTTTTTCCAGAACTATTTTAATAAATTAAGTATAAAATTACTTACAAACGAAATGCGATGCCATCCATAGCAACAAAACGTCTATCCGAATTATTTTAACAAGATAGAATACAAAATTTCAACCTTTTCTTCTTAATACAACGAAAATTACTGTGGTGACATAAATACTGCAAGTTCTCTGCGCATCACATCGCGCAGTCTCTGACGGTTGCCATGGTTTGTTTGGTTAAAGAAATACTCGTAGCTAAAACACGTTGTCGGGGCTGTCAAATTCCCAATAATTGTGAGGGTTTCCGTCGATTTCTCTAGGATCCCATCATCAGATCCTGAATTGGTGGTAATGGGACCAATTTGGGAGCATACCCTTTCGATTACAAAAAGAATTTTGAAAATGGGTCCACAATTGACGGAGAAATCGCGAACAAACATTATTATTATTATTATTATTCTATAATGCACTAGCAGATCACAGATCTGATGCGTACATATCACTGCACTTGTGTTCATTTTGTTGTTTTTAAATGTTTGTCTAGTCTGTTTTTAAAAATGTTCACTGGTCCAGCACTAATTACACTTTCCGGTAAACTATTCCAAATGGTCACCACGCGATTTGGTAGAAAGTGTCTTCTAGGGTTGCTAACAGACGGAGACCTGGTGAGCTTCAATGGGTGTCCTCTCAATCGGGTATTAGAATTCATAGTGTAGAGGTTTCCGATGTCTTTCACATTGTAGTGTCCAGTTAATATTTTATATGTTTCAATCAGATCTCCCCGTTGCCTGCGTTGCTCCAGTGTAGTTAAGTCTAGTTCAATAAGGCGTTCCTCATATGACATGTTTTTTAATGATATAACCATTTTTGTAGCCCTCCGTTGTACTTTTTCGAGCATTTCTATGTCTTTCTTGAAGTATGGATTCCATATTTGAAATGTGTACTCCATGAGTGGGCGGATGTATGTTTTGTAGATCTTTATAAACAAGTCTTTTGTTATGATGTTAAATGCTTTTCTAACCACATACAGCATGGAATTAGCCCTCTTCACTATATTTGTGATATGTACATCCCACTTGAGGTTATGTGTGATGGTTACCCCTAGATCTCTTTGGGAACTTACAGGTTTCAGTTCCACCGAACCAATCTTGTATTCATACACACACATACATTCATAAACATACATAAAAAAAAATACAGACGTATTGAGAATCTCCTCTTTTGTGTTTGGAAGTCGGTTAAAAATGGCCTGTTATTTTTTGCGAGGAGATGGGATCTTCACCATAAACATATTTTCTGACTCCTATATAAAAACAATTGACCGTCACTACAGAACTCACACATACCAATTAAAACAATATACGTCTGTAAAATTGTAAATACAATTTTACAGACATATATACACATTCCATGTAATAACAGTGTAGTGAATTGACGCACCATATTCACATATTGCCAAACAGAGTGACTCTTAGGAAATGCGGGGGCGTTCTAAAGTCTGACTTGTAAAAATACTGAAAAGATTTACTTTCAGAAATAAATATCATTTTCAGATTTTTTTATCATTTTAACAATCGTGGCTGTAACAACTATCGAAACGCAATATCGACAAATTTGAGAAGTCGGTTAGGGAAATCAAGTTTAAAAAGTGATACAAGAATGGATATTAATATAGATAGGACTTTATTTATTACCACAATAATCATCATTGATATTACCAATAGTTTGATCTATCACTGGTTTTTAAATTGGATTAATTTCGTATGAATATGTCGAATACATTTCTGTGAGTTAGCTCTTTTTATTAAGAATGTTCCACCCTTCTATTGTTGAATTGAATGTGGTCGTTGTTACACTTAGTAATTTTAATTTAATATGTTAATTGTGTTACCTTTGTTGCGTCTGCAAAAAAACCAAAAATCGATCTAAGTGGCGTACAATGGGAGAGGCCTATGTCCAGCAGTGGACTGCGATAGGCTGATGATGATGATGATGATGATGATGATGTTAATTGTATTATATTAGATCTGGCGCAATTTGAATATTAAAGTATATTAAAATAAAGCTCACAATCCACATAATTATATCATCATCATCATCATCAACAGCCTTTAATAGTCCACTGTTGGACATAGGCCTCTCCTTGGAAAGGAGGTTTCGGCCTACTATACCACACAGCATTCTCTTTGCAGTTTTGCGTAGTTTGTTGCCTGAGTCGACTCTTACTACACCCACAGGATGAATTGGGATGGTGACACTTTGTATTCTTATTCCGTCACCACACGGATCCGCCACGTCACAGATCTCTTTTTGAAGCAAAGAACTGAACTATTTGGCATTTTTTTAGGGCGGTTACTGTCGTCTACTCGGCAGAGCAACTAGATTTGATCTACTGAGCGGTCCAGCCGCAGATTATTTTATTGTACGCTTATGACTATGTGGACTTATACTTTGGCAGAAGGGAACGCCTGCGTGTGGCTTATCCCTACCGTGTTGCTCTACGCTACAGGCATCCGTGGACAACTGCTACTTAAAGTCACAAGTGCGTTGCCGTTCCTTGAGTTCCCAGCGCAAGAATTAGGGAAAGGGTAGATTTTGGCCTTAAGCAACCTCACTCTCTTGGTGAAAAGCCACGAAAGAATTGCTTAACACCAGTTTTCTGTGACCCGTTTATGTCGAAGCATGACAGACCTTATGAGCTAATACAAGGATTCAAAAAGCTTCTATTTTTCCCTGGCATACCTGATTTAACGATAACACTGCTTGATGTAAAATTGATCCATCGCGGGACGTCTGGCAGATGTAGAACGTCGAAATTATTTTGTAGAAATAATGAGTAGAAAATCATTTTGATAAACAGCAAGAAAGAGTGACTGCGTCACTTCCGCATGGTGACGCGTACCTTATTACATACATGTTACATTTACATAGCGGAACGCACACTATGCCGTGGTGACGCGTCACTACATTCTACGCCAGTACCTAGTCTGTCCTTTAGCATTGAATATTTCACATCAAAAGAATTTTCGAATCTGCAAAGAAGTATAATAATAAAAATGATTATGATTATGAAATCTAAAATCAGTCACTTTTATTCTTTTAACGAAAAAGCAATTGATTGTCATATTGTCATTCACATAGTCGAAGTTGATCAGAGGGCTGAGTGCAAGTTTATTTACAATTAGAGCGCGTTTAGCGTTGCGATTGGTGGAGATTTCAGTGCGGGCCAATCGTAGCGCCAAACGCGGTCACCGTGACGCTCTTGTAGAAGTGAAATAAACTCGCACTTGGCCCTCTGAGGGCCTAGTGCAAGTTTATTTCACATCAAGTCGCTTCGGCGGTGCGGTTGGTGAAGATTTCAGTGCAGGCCAATCGCAAGCTGAACACGCTCACCGTAGACGACGGTCTGGTAGATGTTAAATACAGCACTTGTCCTCTGTTTATTTTAAGTGTGATGCCATGGCGATCTATGCCTTAATATTGAGTACAGCAAAGAAATATTTTTTTATATTTATGTTGAATGTAATTTGTATGGAACGGATTCCACAGTATTTACTTCATCACATTTTATGGTAATAATTAAGCATCACTATAATGGGCGCAGGGAATCCCCGATTTCCTTACCATAGTGACGTGTCTATAACCATTCTCAATTCCTATTGTTTCTGTCAACGCTAGTATAAATATTAGACGTAAATAAATATACTTGTATGTAATTGTACTTTTCTACTAAACAAGTTTACAAATACCGAGTGTTCAGTGTGATAAGCTGTGATTTATTATAGTAAAAATGTTGCGGTCGGATTCTCAAAGAGCAAAATTTAATCCAGATACTGTAATTAGTAACAATGATGATTTAAACACTGATATGATATCAGAAATAGAAAAGGAATTGCACGACAATCCATATGATGTGATATCCCTGGTGTTTTTGCTGTATGATGTCCCCATCACTGCTCTGCAACGTTTGATTGTCTTCGAACGAGTATCGAAAGACAGTGGCTCGTCTACGAATCTTAACATGCTACATGAATGGTTTCGACATGCTAAACACACCACGACTTGGAAACATGAATTTATAGAGGCACTATTAATTTGTCAACTAAACAGTGTTGTTAGAAAGCTTGGATTCCATGTACCAACTGCCCGAAATTATTACCAAATAGACAACATGCAAACCAAAATGTTTATTAATCCTGTAAAGAAGGCATTGTATAAGTTGTGTGAAAATATGAATGCTGATAACTTTTTAAATCTTAAAAAGGCTCTTTTCACCTATAATATTGATGCTTCAGAATATGAGTCTTGTGAGCTAGTTTTGTTGAAACTCATGTGTGATAAATTTATAATTGTTAATGAGTTTAAATACAATACAAAAACATTTGGTTTTCAAGTTCAATTAGACAAACTTCTTAGAATTATTGAAACTTTGCCAGGATTGCGAACATGTGCACAAGAAATTAGGCTTATGCAGCAGTCATTTAACGGAGACTCCAAACCTAGTGCTCCTAGTACACCCTCTGTGAACATGAAAGTAGATGAATCTAATCAGAGTTCCAGTACCAATAATTCACATTTATACTGCAACGATTTTAAAGAGGTTTTTGGAATGATTGGTGAACTATCCTTAGAAGATAATAGTAATATTAAAAGCCTAAAATCTGATACAACAAAGTTGGAAAAAGATAGTTTTGAAATAAAAAATCCTAAAAGAGTTGGGGTCTGTGTTATACTTAATCAAATGAACTTTTATCCATCAAAAAATAGTATAGAGAACAATCAAAGTAATACACTTGCCAAGAGAAACGGCTCAGACAAAGACCAAGCAGTGATTGAAAGCACAATGAAAGCACTTAATTTTGTAGTATATAGTGCAAAAGACTTGAACCACAGACAAATGTTTTATTATCTCAAAGAGATATTAAAAACTAAAGTTTTTGAAGATGACACTGTTTTTATGCTGTGCATTCTATCACATGGAGTGAAAGGACATGTGTATGCATCAGATTCGGTTCAAGTTAACATGGATGATATACAAAAACTGTTAGAGTCGGATGTAGCTGTACATCTTCATGGTAAACCTAAGCTGCTAATTATTCAAGCATGCCAAGTTGATGAAACTCCAAAGACAAGACTGGTAGCAGATAATCTGGGACTAAGTTATGCTTTCAAAAAAACAAATTTTCTTATTTTCTGGGCTACAGCACCTGAACTTGAAGCATTTAGAGATGAAAGTCAAGGCTCTATATTTATACAGAGGCTATGCCACATTATTCTTGAATATGCCAATAAAGAACACATTTCTGATATATTTATTAAAGTAACTGATGATGTTTCAGTAATTTGTGAAAACTTAAATTGTAAACAAGTGCCAATATATCATTCTACACTGAGAAAAAAGCTTTATCTTAGGATGGCAGAGTAATTAGTATGTTAAAGGTGAGAGTATATAATAATTTTCAGACAGGATAAAGGAAGAATGTAAACTGGAGTAAAGAGAATAGACAGGGATACCATTTGTCTTAGATAAAAACGGGACTGAGTAGACTCATTCTCATATGTTTGTCCAGGGATTAGAAAAGTCACTTACAAATAATGGACGACCATTTGACCAAAACAAATTACACCTAATTTTTAAGCAGGTAAGGCAATTGATTGCTGTCATGGCATTGTCATTGCACAGTTGTACTTTATTAACTATAAAGTAAGTGTCTGTGACAAGAAAATTCTGAATGTGTGTGTGAATAATTACACAAGAATTTTCTATTATTATTGCCTTTTTTTTAGTCATAAATATGTTTGCGGGAAATGGGAAGGGGTAAATTTACTTTTGCATACTTTATAAAGGCAGCAATGGAAGTAGTTTGTGCAAATATTATTGTTGAATGTTTTTTTTTCCTAATTTGTAAGTGCAATTTTCTACCTTAAGTTTTATTTATTTATACCCTAGTCATGTCAATTTCTACAACTATAAATGATACTATAGCACATTTTTGAGTATAATGTAAGGCTTTTCAAAGTTTATTTAATTAATATAATTAATATAGTAAAGTGTCACATCACAATTCATGCAATAATAGTAAATAAGGATGTTTGAGGATTTAATAAATCATTTTTTAATACTAGTGTCTTATTTCAATCCTAATTTAATATCATAAATGTGAATGTATATGAGACTCTCACATCATCAGGCATACTGAAAGACATTTTATCCTTTTATTTAAAAAGTATTCTTCCTGAACTAACTGTTCAAATTGGCACAATAAAATATGTATGTGAAAAAGTATGTATTTCAAAGCCTCAGAGCTAACAGAGCTAATACATAGTGCTCAAAGGTATGAAAACATAAGTAACCATCTTTATGTTATATAAATTAAAATGGCTTGCCGCTCTTGTGAGTTTAGCTCTGTCCAACTAGGCCTACGTAACAGTTTTAATGCGGTTTTCATTAATAGAGGGAGTGATCAAATTACAAAAAGTCGGCAATGGTATATATCTGTGGCGACTTTCACATAGAATGAAACGAAGCAACATACTACAGCGTCATCTATGGACAACATACCGAACTACGGAGTATTTGCTAAACCTGGAGTTCTCGCGTCGATAAGCATATATACAACTTCCCAACATCAACTGTTGAGCCTCCACCTGCCAGGCAAGGTCACCTCACCTTGTCGGAGGATCCTCCCTTTGTGTTGGAGGGACATGACATCATATCGCACCACAACATGGATACTACGTGCAGCCACGGCGCCAGGCTGGTTACCCCTACGGCCTCATCAGCGTTTAGGCACAGAACACTGCACCTACGATCCACGTAAGATGATCATCTCTCTTCCGTCTACGCAACAGACAGCCACTACGAAGCAACGGTTCCCAACCACTGGAGACTTCACCGCATACAATTCCGACTCACAGGGATCAGCGGAAAATGCAGAGGCACAATGGCTGCTGCACTTCCGATAAGCACGTCAGCGGCTGGCGGGGTGGGGCGTGTCTATAATAATTGTATATAAAATTATCCTTATAGTATAGTCTAATCATAGTAATCACATAATTAATTCATAGTGACAAAACGTTAGTATCTACATTGGACATAATTATGTTAAGCCAAGGCATGTTGCTAGTTTAAAATATATGAGCCTTGGTGGAGGAGCTGGTGACAATTGTATGTAGAAAAAAAAGGATACTGCAAATGAAAATAACAATAAATAAAAAACGGACTATGAAATATTTTCTATATTTATAGCAACATCTGTTTTGGTGAAATCCATTACTGCTGCTTCCAACTTTTGTCTTTCTTCATCTGTTCTTAACTTAGACCACATACAATCTAAATACATTCTTTGGTGTTTTTGTATAAATTTAAAACTATGTTTAAGTGTTGCTCCCACATGAAGTGTTTTTAATTTAACATGTAATTTGCCAATCTGTGTTATAAACGGTAAACTACTTATTACAAATTTATGAGGTCCATGTCTTGATCTTATAATGGCTATTCTAGTGGTTTCATTGCAGTACTTTGTCAAAAAGCCAGTTGTTATAGCAGCTACACCAAAATCACCATGCAATTGTTGGATCTTATTCATAACAGTGTCATGGAATATCTTAGGTTTCAGATGCAATGGTTTATTATCAGGAATCATTGGACAGTCTATTTCAACAGTAACATATCTGGAAAAAGAAAATACAAATAGAAATCAATGCTTACAACTAAAACTGTGCTGCTCACAATTTGCTACAAAGTTATTGATATTAAAATTCAAAAACAATAATTCTTAATATCTTTGTCGCTAAAACTTGGTTAAGCTGGGTATAACTAAAGAGAATCATTTGTTTAGTCAGTACTTTTTTTAGTGTAGGATGATAACCATCATAGTTTTAGAAAATCAAGTCTCACAGTTATAAAAGTTACAATGGTAGGAATAACATTTTAAACTAACCTATTTTTAAACCGAACCATTTTTGAATAAACTTATTTTTTCTTTGCTTCGTAAAGAAAAAGTTGTAACTTAAATCTAAAATGAAATAGCCAATGTGACTATGACAGGGTAAACCAACAATTTGTAAATAAAGCCCATGACATTCAAGCACCGGCACTGCAGCATCTGACAAGTGTCAGATAACGACAGTTTTGAGCAGTGTGACCGTTATGAAATATTACTAATCTACTAAATTCGGCAACTTTTTCTACAAAAATCTCCTGAAATCTACTGAAGTAAAAAAAAATCTACCGAAATTCTACCAACCTACATTTTGATGCATTTGAACATTGTGGTTGAAATAAAACATGATTTATTATTTAAATTAGATTGAGAATATTTATTTTCATTACAATTTTTGCTTAATCTAATCATATTAGAATCAGGTACAAAGTTTGTACAATTTTCTCCACTATCAATTATCCCTTGTTTTGTGTGCAAAAGCGATGATATGTGTGTATTTAAAAACCGATTACGATGTTTAGTTTTAATTAAATTAACTTGCGAAAATATACGCTCACAAGAAGCGTTCGATACGGGCAAACACATCATCGCTTTTGCGAATTTGCAGATATTATCATATTTCAATTTATTATTACTCTGCCTAGTTTGGGATCAGACTGCCGTGTGTGAGATGTGTGAAGTTGTTATTATTATTATTATTATCTTTATTTCATTCTTTATACATATAAATTACATTTTTAAATAAATTTATATACAAAAACAAAACAAAATTCATTTAAAAATATAAAAATAGTATCCCATCGGTATCGGGTACAGAGACCAAGATATCGGTGGTTAGGACTCCAGAGACAGAAACTTCCTCACAATACGTGCCGTATCAAGAAGAACTGCTTTCTGCATCAGACCCTTAATCCAACTGCCTAACGCGAGCCTCTGAAGATGTTGGTCGAGGCTCTTAGCAAATAATCCATGGGCCGATATGACTATCGGTACAACGATTGCCGAATCAACATCCCACATGTCGACAATCTCGTGGGCTAAATCCAAATACTTCACTTGTTTATCTTTTTCAGCTTTCAAGAGATTGTCGTCATGTGGAATGGTAATGTCAACAATCATTGCTCGGCGCTCCAATCGGCCTGCGCTTATGGAGGACGGAGGTCGTTCTGCGACCTCCGGCGCCTGAGTCGCCTGCGGTGCCTGGCCCGTTCCCGGGCCTGGCGGGCCGGGAGAGTCCTAAAGCTCTCCCGGTCCCGCTCCGCGCTGATGGACAATCCTGGCCACTTGGTTATGTCTATGCAAGTACTCGCCGTTGGCAAGACGAGAACAACCGGAAATTAAATAATAATTATTATTCTCTTTATTTACTTTATATACATATTATTTACATTTTTAAACATACACTTTATAAAAAATTATAAAAAAATACATTTAAAAATATAAAAAATAGTAGACCACCGACATCGGGTACAGGGACCAAGACACCGGTGGTTAGGACTCCAAAGATAGGAACCTCCTCACTATACGAGCCGTGTCAAGGAGGACTGCCTTCTGCATCAGACCCTTGATTCAGCCGTCCAACGTGAGCCTCTTAATGTGTTGGTCGAGGCTCTTGGCTATCAATCCGTGAGCAGATACGACTATCGGAACAATGATCACTGAATCAACATTCCACATATCGACAATCTCGTGAGATAAATCCAAATATTTAATTTGTTTTTCTTTTGCAACTTTCACGAGATTCTCGTCATGAGGAACGGCGATATCAACAATCATTGCGCGGCGCTCTAATCGATCTATCAGCACAATATCAGGCTTATTGACAATTATTATTATTATTAATTTAAACATTTCTACTTTCGCACTTCATCAATTTAATTTTGTAGTAATTAAAATTTAGATTTTTATGTGAGTGTATTAGTTATGTGTTCTCTAGAAGTACCTTTAACATAATTATTAATGCAGCGATGATTAAGAAATGGCCACTGTACCAGCACAACTATACCTTAGTTAAAAACTCGGCTTGTATTTTTTACTGTTTTCTTTTGTATTCGTGATTAACTATTGCTAACTGGACCCTGATTTGTGCTTCGGATACTGTTGAAGATAATTACCCATACGGACAAGAAATATGTTGATATTTAGATTTCTAACAAATACTGCCAAGACGTATCCGCAGGAGCCCGTAGATAAATACATATCACGATGTAAAATGCTGGGTATTTTTGAATTGGACGGTGCTTATCAACCAATATTGTTGACTCTCGCAACGAAACGTGTAGTTTACTGTGATTATTGCGGGCTTACATCTATTATATATATAAGTAGGTATAAGTCAATAAGTAGGAGATACTTTGTAGAGGTCGGATTTCTGCAGATTTATGCTTAATGCAGAGTTAGAAGTTTCTTCTGAGTCGAGTTCATGGACAGATGAGTTGAAATTAGATAAAATTATTGGCTGCTAAAGGCCCTGACAAATCTTATAAAACATGGATAAAGAGGCCACAAAGACGTTTTAGTTTGAATGTATTGATCTTTCTATCCGAGAACAGTATGAAAACTTTTTAGGTACAAAAATGGACTGACTGGACTGCATTGGCAGTATCCGTTACAAATCAGAATATCTGCTGATATTCTGATTTGTTATGGATACTCCTCGTTCGTATAGGTCGTTATCTTCAACGGTAACAGTAAACCACAAATCAAAGTCCAGTTAGCAATAGTTAGTCACGAATAAAAACAAAACAGTCCAAAAATACAAGCAAAGTTTTTTATACCGATACTTACCGGAATACTCGTATACCTACGCTAATTTTTAATACTCTCACTCCCAGTCATTAATTCAAGTTTTTTTCTATGAATTTTGATATTATCCAAGACCTTTGATTTTACCTTTATAGATAGCTGACAATAAGTATATCTTCAACTTATCTATCATAGATACTTTTTTATTATTCATGAAAGAAAATGTTATTTTTTACAAATGTATTTCTTCATGTTATTATCAACTATCTGCGTTGGCCCAGTTTGTTAACTACAATTTTGGTAATGGGTATTTTGAAACAATTTACTAACGACACAAAAACAGTACAAAAAAATAGGATCTAAAAACGATTGTATTAGGCAAAAATTCAGTATTTTTATTTAAAAAAAAAACTAGAAAAAGTTTGGTTTGGGTTATGATATAAATATAAAATATCTAGGTTTATTTAACCAGTAAGCATGTATATATCTTATAAATATAAAAAAATAAACTGACAGAGACAGTGAATCATCACTGACTGATCGATCAACGCGACAAATGGTGCATTTTGAAAAATTCCACACTAAAGGGTGCAAAATGGGGGTTGGAAATTTATATAAAACTTCGTTATTTATGGTAGTAGCGTTTTCAAACTCATTGTAAATACTCCTTAATAAAAGTATTAAAAACACAGCTACTTATTTTTCAAAACTACCCTTAAAAATTGTAGTGCAGTGGAGTATTAATGATTTGATTTGAATATTGATGATGATGATCAAAGCGTTAAAACATGATATAAAAAATTAGCGGTAAAATTGAAAATCGAAGTTCTCAAAACAATGTTTTCAAATCTTTTATCTACACTCACTGATAAATAACTTTTAACTTGATAAATAGTAATAAAATGTTTCTAATCCAAAAAAGTACTTTAACTTTTTTTAATACTTAATTAATACTCATGTATTACATATAAAACCAACGTGATATGTATTACTTTCGATGTCATTAATCAACTCTTAAAGTTCAAATGGTTGCAAGGTTATCTTGGTTTGCTCGTGGAATTTATTTTATAACTCACTATCTTATATCTAAAGTATCAAGGCCATTTTCATTATTGTTTAGATACAAAAAGATAACTTTTAGTAGATATTTGTGACTTAAGTCAGACATTACTGCTTAAAAATTACAGTTCTCAAGAAATAGTGTCCAAATGGGGAGTGAAATTTATTTTATTGGTGTAGACGTAGGTTCAGGGAGTGTACGAGCAGCACTCGTAGACGATAAGGGCCATGTCGTTAGTTCGTCTGTGAACGAAATTCGAACTTGGACACCAAAGGATAATTACTATGAACAGTCATCTGATGATATTTGGAACTCTTGCATATTTGTTATCAAGGTAAATCTAACAGGTTTATGTAAAGAATATTTAGAATAAATTTATCATCTAACAAATAGAACCTTTAAAACATCCTTAAATAATTTTATATTATTAACGATTTCAGAATGTGGTGAAAAATGTAAACAGAGATAATATTAAAGGTATCGGATTTGATGCTACATGTTCCTTAGTAGCTCTTGATAAAAATGGAAATCCTCTGTCTGTGAGCACAACCAACAATGAACAGAATATAATTATGTGGATGGATCACCGAGCACAAGCTGAAGCAGACTTTATCAACAAAACTGACCATAACATACTCAAGTATGTAGGTGGAAAAGTAAGCTTAGAGATGGAAATGCCTAAATTGCTTTGGTTAAAAAGAAATTTACCAAATAAATGGAAAGAATATGGGTATTTCTTTGATCTTCCAGATTTTTTGACCTGGAAAGCAACTGGATCATTAACTCGTTCACTATGCTCCTTAGTTTGTAAATGGAACTATGAGTGTTCTGTTGAAGGTAGACAAGGTTGGGACATGAACTTTTTGAGAGATATTGGCTTGGAAGATTTGGCAAATGATAAGTTCAGGAAAATAGGTGACAAAGTATTAATGCCTGGGGAATGCTGTGGTGGATTAACAGAAGATGTGGCTAATATTCTGGGATTAAAACCAGGTACTCTTGTTGCCACGTCTATAATAGATGCACATGCTGGTGGTCTAGGGATGATAGGTATTCAGAGTGAAGGTATTGACAAAGAAATGTCATCCCGACTTGGTTTGATCTGTGGTACATCTACTTGTCATATGGCTGTGAACAGAAACGCTATACTTGTACAGGGTGTATGGGGTCCATATTACAGTGCTATGGTACCAAGTATGTGGCTGAATGAAGCAGGACAAAGTGCTTCAGGAATGTTACTTGATTTTATTATATCAAGTCATCCCGCTGGCACTAATCTTCTGAAGACCATGTCTTCTGGAGAGTAAGTTTTATGTCTTTATTTTATGTAAAATCAACAAGTAATTTTTATTTCTTTCAAGTCTTACAATTTAAGTACTAACCCTAGAATGTATAATGCAATGTTACCCAAAATGCAACAGAGTTACTGGTTGCAGACGTCTATAGACAACAAAGACTCTGTTTTAGACTTGTGTAACTCATGAGTGACTCATTCCCTAGTTAACATTACTGAGCGGGATTTGGTGAACTGAATCTTTAACGTGAAGTGTGTTGACCAAGTCTACTCTGTTGCCTTGCTGCCCTGTTTTACAGGGTGTTGTCAAATTGTCAGTGATGCAAGCACTACAAAATTTTTGAAACCACATGGACTTTTAAAAGTTACTTATTTGCTGTATCAGCAGTAAACTTTTTGTGCTATTAATTAAGAATGTATCCTATTTTTGCTTAATAATTAGTCAAGTTTTTTTATTTACTAGTAAAAAGTGGATATCCTTTGGCTTTTATAAATATCACTTCACACATATAGAGACATACTTACTACCTCAAACAAATGGTTAGTACATTACATACAAAATTTATTCGTTTTGCTTACCATATCAAGCAAAAGAGACTATGAGGCTGTCTGATATCACTAATTTTTTCGCCATCTCATTGGGGTTTACAGTGGAGCTTTAATTGGGTTCTTGGGTTGAGACCTTGCTCCCAGGCCCTCCCCACCTTTTGCGAAGTGACGTTCTCTCAAAAGGATGCTTCCCAGTGAAACATCTGTCGCCGGCCATGGAGCATATGACGACCAGTTGCTAGAGATCCTCTCAGATGACTGCAATGAGGAACCGACGCTGCGACTACTGGCAGCGTTTGCTGAGCCGAATCCTTACTGTAGTCGTAGTGGTAACAGGCGAGACATAGTTCACTACTAGCGACCGAGTGCACGTACATCCCGAAGTGGCAGTGCCCGGAAAGTATCTGCGTCAGTTGGAAGGAAATGAGTCCTGACGAACTTCCTCCGGCAGGGGCCGACTGCTGCTACCTACACGGAACTGAGCCTTTCGCGGTTCTATCGGTTCCAGACAAAATATATGAATTATTTTATTCATTCAACTATTACTAATTCTATTTTGTTATGATTTGACCTTAACGAAGTCTATTGATATGTCTATGTACTTAAGCACGTGTGGACAAGCGATTTAAATAAAAGTAAAATAGCAATAGAGGCGACGCAAAAGTTTCGAATTCTGATTACAATAATACCAGTTAGTCAAAGTGCTAATTAAAAATTCTCTATTTATATCTAATATAAAATTCGATATTTTACATTACAGTGTTCGCAACCATTTAAGGAGCTTATTATCAGAAATGGCGCAAGCAAAGGGTTACGAAGATGTCAGTTACTTGACGAAAGACATCCATGTATGGCCCGATTTCCATGGCAACAGGTCTCCTCTTGCCGATCCGTCGATGAGAGGCATGATTTGTGGTTTGTCAATAAATAGCAGTGAAAATAACTTGGCGATACTATATTTAGCAACATTGCAAGCACTATCGGTACGTCGTATACAAATATTTAATGTGCTAAATCTATGTAAGAAAGTTCGTCAGTTTTTGATGTGTAACATCCTTCGTAATGCTTTTCTGCAACCTGTGGAAGTGATTTCGTGAAAAGGGACATAAATGTGTAACAGCAACAGCCGGGAAACCGCGCGCTATTTGACAGTTGATGTTCTGCAGATGTTACGCGTCGTAATATTAATTTTCTTTTTTCAGTATGGCACACGACACATTACAGACGCATTGATGGTGGCGGGTTATGAACCTTTCAAATCATTGCTCATCTGTGGTGGAATAACAAAAGATCCACTCTTCGTCCAAATACAAGCAGATGCTATGGGTTTACCAGTTCTGAAGCCACATGAAAAAGACTCGGTTTTAATTGGTTCTTCTATATTAGGAGCATGTGCTTCCCAATACTTTAAAGACGTACAAGATGCTATCAATAATATGGGTGGGACGGCCGATGTCATTCAGCCCAATGCAATCAGTAAGGGATACCACGACAAAAAGTATAGAGTTTACCAAAGAATGTTCCAAGATCAATTGAAATATAAAGCCATTATGAGTTCAAATTTGTAAAAAAATCCATGATGTGTTATTTTATTAATGAAAATAGGTGAAACAATAAATGAACTTAAATACAGTCTTTACTCGAAGATTGAGGGTTAGTTTTAAGTATAATATCACCTGTATACGGAATTTCATATAGGTATATTTTTATTAAATTAATTATATATTAGTGATTTTATCGTTTATATGTAATATTTGAATAGATCAGTTAATTACTATTATTTGTATTTTTATTTTCTATTTACAAAATAACTCAATCAGTTTAGATGTCTCATAGTTTTATTTACCAACTTAGTTATAACCAGTTCTACCGATTGTGGTTGGGCTGTTCCACTAGTCCCTACCAGCTGTCCCTCCTGGTGGGAAAAAGTGGACTTTTTTCCACTCTTTCTACCACACCGTCACTGCTTGGGATGAGTGGAATTTCATTTCCACTTATCCCTACCAAACCAATTTTGTTAATAAGTACAGTCTAGAATAAAATCATGCTAATGAAAAATATAATTATTTAAGAAAGCTTATATTTATTTTGAAAAATTATCGAATTATAGTTTTCGAATATCATTACCTTAATTAATCAATAATTTTTACGATGAAATAATAATAATTTAGCGTAATCATAATCAATGTTGCCAGTCACTGCTGCATTTGTATATCATGTATGACTGTGTCCCGGATTATATATTTTCGTTCCCTTTTCTTTTGTTGAAGGTTATTGGTGATTGCAATGAATTTGTTTCTAAGAACACCATTTGCATATTTATGCAATTTACTTAACAGTTGTAGTTTATTTAAATGCGTGGAACGCTTATTGTTTATTTTAAAGTGCCACGCTTCGGCGATATTGTTGGTGCGGTGTCGCAGACCGAAGACGTTCCGTTTCTGAAATTCTTTATTTTAAGCCACCATTTATCAAAATACTGCATGAATTTTCCTTGCCAATGTGCCATAAGACATCGCGCTATGCGGCTGGCCGTTATGGCGGGTAAAGGGGAAAATCCCGCCACCCGCGCTGGTAAACTCGCTTCAACTGCCAGGTTCATCGGCCAGGCCCTCCGCCGCCTCCTTCTGCGAGATGACGTTTTCGTAGAAGGACAGGCGACTCAATTCCCTCCTAGCGACCAAGTGCACGTACTTCCCGAAGCAGTCGTGCCCGGAAAGGACCTAAGTTAGTCGGAAGCAAGGGTCCCGTGGTGCTGCCCTGCCCACTCGACGACCGGGAGTCGGCTCGACTACTACGAACTATCCTGTCTCGACGAGCGGCCTCACGCCACTAGCGTATTTCTTCAGACGGGGGACGACTGACGTTAACCACCCGAAACCCAGTCTATTCTGGGCGGTCAGAACCGCTGCCCATACCGGTGCACCATACAGTACCATTGACCGGACAACCTCCGTGTCAGCTGTCTCGTCGCGATGCTGGGTCCACCTAGGCTAGGCAAAAGTCGTCCATGGTAGTGGAGTGCTTCCTGATGCAGCTGAATTCCAGACTATTGAATGCGTTGGCGATATCCAAAGACACCGCCAACAGCACGCCGATACAGGTCACCGTCTCTTCGATCAAGGCCCTTGGGCTCAGCACAGCGCCGACCGTCGAACGCCTCGCTCGAAAACCTGGGGGTGACAGCTAAGGGCCATCTGTCACTTTAGCAGAATCAGGCCAGAGTGGCGGCGCAACGGGCTCCGGAGTGCTCGTCTTCCTCACACACGGGGGGGGGGGGGGGGTCATCAATCAGCCGTAGATGGTTCGGGCTCCGTTGAGGTACCAGAGATTTTCTTTCTAGATTAAACACCAGAATCCAGATGTCCCCACCTACTTTCTGTAATTCTAAAGTATTTCAAAATAATTCACCCATAATGTCACAAAAAGCTATTATGTATTACTTCTTTTTCTTTAGCACTTTCCCGCATATAGTATTAGAACAGACATCATAATGATACATCATTTTCAATAAAAGCATGAGCTTCAGTGCCTTGGCAAATTCGGTTAAAATAGGAATATTATAAAAGGAATATTATTTAAATTATATTATTAAATATTATTGAAGGAATATTATAAATAGTGCAACAAATACGACGCGTGATTTAGAGAGACCAATACGTGTGATGGGCAGTACATAATCTAGAACTAACTTGAAAATTAGTGTGTGCCAAGGAGAAAACATCAATATTTCACACTATGTTGTAAGATACAAATAACCAAAAGGCTAAGGAATATTTTTTTAGTTGCACTACAAACTAAACAGTGAATTTTTGGACTGATTTATAATTTTGTTCTAAAATTGTTGTTTGTACTAAAATAAATGTATAAGCATCTACAAAGTATTTGTTATTTTTCTGTTTATGAACGACCACGGTGATCTCTCTACAGGTAATATAATCATAACATTTACTTTGGTGTGATTGATGAGTCGCCTAAAACTATCAATTGTTTACTCAATAGTTTTAAGATTTAGTTTATTGACTGTCGGTATCATAGCTTTTATTTAATAAACATATTAAATTAAAATGCACAACTTTAAAAAAATATTAGAACCAAAACTAAAATGTGCTATAATTTATATACATCAGAATCTGGAAATCTCATGAGAATGACAACACCAACGTCTACTCGGTTGAGGACGTGAGAACTTGGCAATATTTCGGGCGGAGCTTGGTGCTTGCACTGTTTTTGTCTGCTTTTATTAGCAAAATGATAGTTATTATAGTTTATAGTAAACTAACTGTTTCTCAAAATCCTAATTTATTGAATTAAACAAGAGTTTAACAAGGGTGTCAATATTGACAAGCAGGTATGCATAAAACCCAACCAAAGTAAAATATACTTAAACCAAAAGGAATCAAATCAAATAACCTCTTCTTGATTTGACAGGATTATATTGATCAATAGTTTTCGTAATAAAAGTACATAGCATTTTTTTTTGAGATTTGTGTATTTTACTTTTATAATTTTTTGTAGGTCAATATGTCTAAGCGAACAGCGGACGATGGTGGCAATGGCAGCAGTCAGCCACCGATCAAAAAGGTTCATTTTGAACCCCATCTTATTGGCCCTGTGTCTACTTTGGAGGAAATGGACATCAAAGTTCTTCAATTTCAGAATAAAAAGTTAGCTCAGGTAACGTTAACCTAAATTTATTGAATGTTTTATTATATTAGTAAGTCTAAATGCTTTACTATGGTAAATATTGTAGCTGACATGTCACAATCAGCTGTTAAACTACAAAATTACATAGCAAAAGTACAAAGACAATAATATTACCATGAGCATTAGAGAGCCTTTTAGATGTACATACATCAAACTATTTACACTATCACAACTTATTTTTTTCAGTTGTTCTTTTTGCAGTTCAGGTTTAGTTACTATTTTTTGCTACAGTAGTTGGCTGCCAAATGAACATCTTAGTATCGTCATCATAATTATAAGCATTTTAGTTACAGATAAAAATACAAATAGTATTGTGCTCAAAATAATTTTGTTGCATTAGTAAATTTAATAATGTCGAATACAAAGTTAGAATTGACTGCACGGATGGCGTAGTGGTTTAGGCGGTCGCCACCCACTACGCCATCCGTTCCGTTGAGGGTTGTGGGTCCGATCCCCACATGGGACGACACTTTGTGTGATCCACAAATTGTTGTTCTGAGACTGGGTGTTCTTTATGTCCGTCTCATGTATGTTTGTGTAGTTCCCTACGACACAGGATATATTCCTAATGCGGAAGTTGTCTTTTTTCCATTTAAAAAGGAATGACTAAATCTAAATATTTGATAACTCAAACTGCTCATTAGGCAATAACTACAGTTTGCATCATTCTTAATAACCATAGTAGCATTGTAATACAATACATATAAACACTCAGCAGCACTACTTTTTATTCATTGTGTTACACAGCCAAGGTTTTTATAATACCAGTTATTCAGCATTTCACAGATTATAACAATTTTCAAGCAAATTTTTTTCAACCAATAAAAATTTTCATAATAGTTTTTAATGTTAAATTATAGAGAATAGAACAACGTCACAGATGTGAAGCCGAACTCCGTGCTAGAATTGAGCAACTTGAGAAGCGGCAAACTCAAGATGATGCTGTGTTATGTGTTGTCAATCGTTACTGGAATTTGTTGAATGAAGACATCAGAGTGACATTGCAACGCTTCGATGCTGAAACTGCTGATGAGTCAGAAAATAAAAGTAAGTGTTTTTATTTAAATTATAATTCATGTTTCTTGTTACTTTACACTTCCTAGAGGCTTATTTGTTTCTGCGTGTTCTACATTATCTCGGTAAAGCCTAAGATAGATCCCAAAGTATTGTGAGTAGGTGGTGCATAGATAGAATTCAATGTATATAACGTGAATTAGGTTAAGTCTTCAATATGTATACTATATTTTCATGATTATTGTTATTCTTAAGACTCAACTTATACATGGCCTTAACCTAGGAAGAGCCTTAACTAGTTTAACCACACTGATAAACATATGTATACCTGACTAAAGACATATGTATTATAGATAACTTACAACTAGACACATAATATATGTTTGTGCTTGTCACAATTGCTTAGTCCTGTGTAGGCAAAAAAACAAACAGCCACCAGTTCAGCAGTCAACGTACCCTACCAACCTACCCTACCCTACTACTACCTACCCACGTAACTTTTAGGCTACACCAAAGCAAGTATAAATAATTGTATCACAATATTATCCTTATTATTTAGTGTAAAAGGAAATAATAATGTGCTTGTATGTTTGTATATTTTAAGACAGAACTTAAAAACTGTGACACATCTGTTTTCATACTAGACAAAACTTTGTCTAGAGTATGCAAATATCTTTAAAATACCTTAAAACGATGGTTTTTTTGTGTATAGTGAGCAGAGGTTGGAGTAGGTGTAATGTGTTATCAGCCTCATGCCGCCCTGAGTGTGGCCGCGGGTGGACGGGGTGGGTTTCCCCTCCACCCGCATTAGTTTGGCCAGCCGCGAGGGGGCGGCGTCCGCGTGTACCGGACGTTGCCTAAAGAGAGGAAAGATCAGAGACGGGGCCCGCAACAGGAGCGGGCCGGCGCTGGGAGGGGTCCAGAAGGCGATAACTACCTGGACCCCTCCTAAACTGGAAGCGCAAAGAGGGCACACCGTGTGGTTTTAGTCGGTTCGAGTCCGACACACCGCCCCGCCGAACAAGAGCCCCGGCGGGGTGACGGTCCGAGGGGATTTCCACACGTAAAAAAAAAAAAAAAAAAGGTGTAATGTGTTATGGGCGGCGGCTCTGACCGCCCAGAATAGGGCACGCCTCTGGCGCCCTCAGGTATTGGCGGTCAGAGCCATACGCGGTTACCGCACCGTTTCGACGGAGGTGGCTTGCGCGTTGGCCGGAACTCCCCCGTGGGATTTGGAGGCGGAAGTGCTCGCCGAAGTTTATCGGCGAGTGGCTGACTCCCGGGCGGAGAGCGGATTTTGCCCTCCGCCCGAAGACGTGTGCAAGTGAGCCACGATGGCTCGTTGGTCGTTCCGGCTGGAGACTCCACGCGCTGGCTTCGCCGCCGTGGAGGCTCTTCAGCCGGTCATCGCCGAGTGGGCAGGGCGGCAGCACGGGACCCTTACCTTCCGGCTGACGCAGGTGCTTTCCGGGCACGGTTGCTTCGGAAAGTACCTGCACTCGGTCACTAGGAGGGAACGGAGTCCCGCCTGCCACCACTGCTACTGCAGTGAGGACTCGGCCCAGCACACGCTGGCGGTCTGCCCCGCATGGGCGACGCAGCGCCGGGCCCTCACTGCAGTCATCGGAGTGGATCTCTCGCTACCGGCCGTAGTACGCTCCATGGCCGGTAGCGACAGTTGTTTTACCGCGGTCGCCACCTTCTGCGAGCAAGTAATCTCGCAGAAGGAGGCGGCGGAGAAGGCCCGGGAGGACGACCTCCACTCGGACCCGATCCGCCGAACCGGGCTGCGGAGGCGCGCTCATCTGCGCCTCATGCCGCCCTGAGTGTGGCCGCGGGTGGACGGGGTGGGTTTCCCCTCCACCGGCATTAGTTTGGCCAGCCGCGAGGGGGCGGCGTCCGCGTGTGCCGGACGTCGCCTAAAAAGAGAGGAAAATTTTGAGACGGAGCCCGCAACAGGAGCGGGCCGGCGCTAGGAGGGGTCCGGATGTCTTAATAATAACAGCTGTTCCCGGATCCCTCCTATTAGAGGCGCAGAGTGGCACACCGTGTGGTTTTAGTCGGTCCGAGTCCGACACACCACCCCGCCGCAAACCCCGGTGGGGTGACGGTCCGAGGGGTTTTCCACACGTAAAAAAAAGAAAAAAAAAAGTGTGTTCATATTATGGAGCTGCGTATTAGGAAAAAGTAATAAGTGACTGGCAACGTATACAAATAACTTTGTTCTGTTAAACACATCAAATGAGAACTTAACAAAATTCTACTAGTGCTAGAATACAGTTAATAATAATAATAAACAGGGTTTTTTTTTTGAAGATATTATGATGCTTTTTCAATGCAAGTACATAAAATCAGTCTACCTGCTCCTACCTCTGATAGCGACCGAATTACAATTGGTGTGCAAAAGTTGTCATACAGGGCCAGGCTTCAACCTGACTTATTTATTTTAGGTCCAATCCCTCAGAAATTATGTTTTTTTTTACACACAACCGAATCCTGTTGAATTTGGGACTGTCAACTTGCTAGTGAAATTCCTCTGCCTTACACTGACTAACTGACAAGCTAATAAGTACCAAGTTTTTTTGTGCTCGTTTCCCTTGGTGAGCAGGTGACATTTGAGCCCTGTCAATATCTCCTATCAATACCGGGTTACAGTTGTCGAAATGAAAGTGCCACCATCACTGTTATGAATATTTACAGATCAGACCAGACTATGTGTTGGTACTCAACTAATTTGTATGAAATTAGTGAGTCTATCAACTACTTAATTAATTATAATTATCAGTATTCTCAGAGTCTTCTAAGAATACTGTGTATTTTGCAGATACTGTTTGTTGGTCGGTAGAGATAAAAAGAAGAAGAAGGCAATAGCTTTTTTGAAAGAGCTAATAGCCAGAAAAGCAATATTGTGACACTTACACAAAACAATTACCACAAATATGAAACTAAGTAGATGGAGTAGAATACTCATTTATTTTATTTTAATACATCCTTAATAAAATTTATTGATTGTCTTAAAAAAAAAATTTTTCCATGTTTTTATTATCATTACCCTTCTTTACAGATGAAAATGAGGCCACAACATCATTTCTTATGCAATTATCAACATGGGACAAAGAGGAATTGGATGCTCAGCTTGCAAACCGCGTCCAGGTGAGCAAGCGAGCAGTTGCTAAAGTACTTCAAGCATTCGACCGTTTACAGCAGAGAAATGACAAAATATGGCGTGCTATCAAAGGCGAGAGTGACGGTATGCCATCAATTACATATAAGTTTTGTTAGAGATTTAGTAGGCCAAAACCTCCTTTCTAAGGAGAGGCTTATGTCCAGCAGTGGACTATTAAAGGCTGTATAGAGTATATGGCTGGTATAGAGATTTAGGATGCAGTAAATAAAATTGAATATGTACACATGACTTGACTGCACGGATGGCGTAGTGGTTTAAGCGGTCGCCACGCTGCTTCCTACTACGTCGAGTGTTGTGGGTTCAAACCCCACACGGGACGACACTTTGTGTGATCCACAAATTGTTGTTCTGAGTCTGGGTGTACTTTGTGTTCGTTTCATGTATGTTTGTAAAGTACCCCGCGACACAGGATGTATTCCTAATGCGGGAGTTGTCTTTTAAAAAAAAAAAAAAAAAGATATAGTTACAGTTACAGTAGACAGTTAAGTATTAAAATTTATTTCTTAATAAATATGTAAAGGAGAAATTGTAGTCTTCTTCTATGTAACAGAAAATAATTGTAAAAATCCCTAAAGATTTAGTATTCTACATTTATTCATGTTTCAAACCAGAGTTAACTTGGTGGTCTTGGGTTGTCTTAACTATTTACATATTTTTTGTATGTGGTCCAAGTAAGCCTTGCTCGTTTTGAGTGCAGCATGCAACCATGTGTATGTAATTTGTTGATAATATTTTTATTATTTTGGTATTGTATTTTGATTTAAAATGCGATCAACCGTCACAGAAACTGGCCCAGCACCTTCCTTAGATGAAGTAGTTCGAGATACAAATGAAGAGGTAACGGCAGAGAATAGACGACTGCAAGCCTTATGTACCACATTGCATGAGAGCCACCATGCCATGACATTGCGTGTAGCGCAGCTGCAGGACGCTGTGAACAGCAGGGACACAGAGAATGCTGAATTAAAGAACCAGATCGACGATCTACAGTATGAATTGCTCAAGGTAGACTTGACCTATTTTAAAAACTAACTGCTGTATATTATGTAGAAAGGAGTATTAATGTCCCTCCTCCAGGTGCTCCTGGTGTGGTAGTCATGCCTGGTAGACCGCGCCCCAACATTTAACTTTGGGAATTTAGAGCTTAACTGCATGCAGTAGGATTAGTAGTTACTCCGTTTGGTGTGTCTTTGTTAGATGCCTAAAAGCAGGGCTTTAACTACTTACCATCAGTTGTTAATCAAAATGACAGCTTATAACAAAATTCTAACACTGCTAACACGCTAATGAGGGTGTACCTCATTATAAAGTTTGGGTCATGATATGGAGTATAGGTACAGTCTCATCACAAAGTCATTACCTCGATTTGTAATTATCGACAGGTGCGATCCCGCAATGACAAACTAGAAAATCATCTAGCAGAAGCTATTGAAAAGCTGAAGAGTTATCATCAATCAGGTGCAAGTACTGTTCCCAGCACTAGCGGAACCCCGCTCTCGGCGGTCGCTAACGCTAAGCTGGAGGACGTTGCCGCGGAGCTGGAAGAGCAAAGAGAACTCGCCAACAATCGCTTAGCTGAACTGGACCGTCTGCATAGACAACATAGAGATACACTTAAGGAGGTCGAGAAGCTGAAAATGGATGTTAGTATATCTTTACTATTCTAGTTTTTTTTATTTCTTACTTTCTTTATGCTGGATCTACTTTCATATTATTTTACATATCTATTCTTGTGTCAGGTTTTCTTTAGTTAAAAACGGATTTTAAATACTAGATCCAGATTTCAATTACTACCAAAATTAATGGTATCTGTGGTGTCCTTACTCATTTCATTATTATGGATTAGCTGATGTGGTTGTTTACTGGAGGCGGCATGCTTTTGAAGGACCTGAAGATAGGGACAGATGCCTGGCTCTGCTCTAAGCATTTAATTTACCTCTCCTTGTTTTCTCCACAGATTCGTCAATTGCCAGAGTCGGTGATTGTAGAGACGACAGAGTATAAATGCCTCCAGAGTCAATTCTCAGTGCTGTATAACGAGTCCATGCAGATGAAAACTGCTTTGGACGAAACGCGCCTTCAACTGCAAAACGCCAAGAACTTACATATGAGACAGATTGAAATGATGGAGGTATTATTGTTATTTATTATTCACATTGACATATTTTTATGTGCGGTATTCTTTTTTTTTATGTTAGAGGGGCCAGACAAGAAGACTGATGGAAAGTGACCATCGCAGCTTATGAATGTCTGCAACTCAGGAGTAACAAAAATAAAAAAAAATTAACTCAAACCCAATCTTTGTTTTCGAATGTTATCTGTTATAATGGACTCACACACATATTTTAATGTATATATTAATTATAAATAAGATGGTGATTTTTGGTTTGAATAATTACTGCCTCATCAACAGCCTTTAATAGTCCACTGCTGGACATAAGCCTCTCCTTAGAAATGAGGTTTTGGCCTACTATACCACGCTGGCCAGACGGGTTGGTATAGGGTTTGTGTCAAGTTTTCCTTCTCTCTGCAGTGCTGTTGTCCTGCGTAGTTTTTTCCCTTAGTCGGCTCTTACGACACCCACGGGATGAATAGGGGTGGTGACACTCTGTATTCTTAATCCGACACCGCCGTCAGAGGCCTATGTCCAGCAGTGGACTAGTAAAGGCTGTTGATGATTGATGAATTACTGCCTACTTTAGTATAGCACTTGAGTGAAACGGATTCCGTTCAACCAATACAATGCACGCCACTGTCTACTTGTCTGTCACTGTCTACTCAGTCAATTTTGTAAAATTAAACTATATCTACAGAACCCTGTCACAAATTTTCTTATTAATTTAAACAAAATTCCACAGAGTGAAGAGTTGTCTAGACAAAAAACACTGCGAGCTGAGATGATACAGTTAGAAGACGTTCTAGGACAGTTGCGGAAAGAGTATGAGATGTTGCGCATAGAGTTCGAACAGAATCTCGCGGCAAACGAACAGACCGGCCCCATCAACAGAGAGATGAGACACCTGATCACGTCATTGCAGAATCACAACCAACAGTTAAAAGGAGAGGTGCATAGGTACAAGAGGAAGTACAAAGATTCTAGTCAGGAACTCAATAAGGTACGTCCGGTTCTAAAACTGTCTTAATTTAAAAAAAAAACCACTTGTTTGTTAATACATATATTTCATATTCGTTTTTTTCAATAACGAGTCTATTCGCTATTCAAAAAAATGGGGTATGGTATATAATGTATGGTCCAAATAATTATTTAACAGTGCTAATGAAATCTCTTGTTTTATTTAAAAGACAACTCTCGCACTAGTAATATAATCCTGTGTCGCAGGGAACCTTACAAACATTTATGAAACGGACACAAAGAACACCCAGACTCAGGACAACAATTTGTAGATCACACAAAGTGATATCCCATGTGGGGATCAAACCCACAACACTTAGCGTAGTAGGAAGTGGCGAGGTGACCGCTTAAACCACTATGCCATGAGTGCAGTCTAGTGTAAATATAAATAATGTTGTTAAACTAGATTCTTAACCACTTTTTACTGTGTGTTTTAGCAAAGTACTGCATCACAAATTTTTATATCAAACAAGTGGGATTATGTAATTGATTAATTAAGTATAAAAAATATAGTTTGCTATGAAAAATAGTCAAGAACACTTAAACTTCTAGCTGCGGAGGAGCATGGATTCTCCTGTAGTGATAACATTTAATTGTCATTTCTTTTCTCTTTGAGTATTAGAAGAATGAGGTTAACATACCACTGCGGGATCAAAACCCCTAAAATAAAAAAATAACTAACTATTTTAAATAACTTTCGAGGTATTTGTTTTTTTTTGTTGCCTTTATCAGTATCAAATGAAAGTTTACAATTATTAACGTCTATAAGGTACGCAAGGAGTTAGAAGAAGCGGGTGCACGTGTATCGCTGTGTGGAGACGCGCCTGATGATAAACCTCACGCGTTGAAGAAGGAAGAGCCTGACCCTGAGGTACATAATGTTTTTTTTCCTTTTTTGATGATTAAGAGACTTTCCTTTCTGCTTAAATTAAAGAGAAAATAATAATAAAGTGCATAAAAACTGTGTTAAGTTCCAACTGAATATAACCCTCCCAATGATTAATATCCGTGTGGTGACGGATTAAGAATACGTAATGTCATTGTCATTGAATAAGAATACGTGTACCTATTTATCCTGAGAGTGTCGTAAAAGTCGACTAAGGGAGAAAACTACGCAAGACAACATCAGTGCAAAGAGAAGTAAAACTTGAAACAAACCCTATACCAACCCGTCTGGCCAGCGTGGTATAGTAGGCCAAAGCCTCCTTTCTAAGGAGAGGCCTATTTCTAGCAGTAGACTTTTATAGGCAGTTGATGTGATGTGATGTGAATGATTAATAATAGAAAGATAGCAATAGATTAGTTCAATCCATAACGACTATTTAAAACCAAACAGCCGTAAGTTAGTAAGGTAAGTTCGAATGGGAAAATGATTCTTGCTAACGAAAATTTAAGGTTTTTGACAACTGTCTTGTTTTCAATATTCATTATAATAAACGCTTGACGAAACTAACGCTTAACGATAACTTCTATCTGATTATTAAAAACAATGAACTAATAATGATAGATCGTTTTTGTAAAATAATTGGTCAAGCATTAGAATGCTTAGATTTCGATTTTTTATTTATTCTAGTATTTTTAACCGACTCCAAAAAAGGAGGAGGTTCTAATTCGACTGGTTTTTTTTTATTTATTAGATAACATATTCCGCCTATTCCCCTAGTCTTTAATTTTGGGTGAAAATGTAGCTATCGAGAATTGTTACAACCACTAACTCATATATTTACATTCAAAATATCTTTTTGAACTGTTACTAACATGACAAAGTGTAAGTAGAAATAAATTAGTTCACCAGTATAGTGTAGTGTTGTTTGTTGTGTTCAGGGCGAGGAGGGTGCGAGCGCGTGTCCGGACAAGCCGCCCGCCAACAAGGAGCACAGCCGCGCCAAGATACAGGAGCAGGAGCTCTGCATCAAGGACCTCAAGCAGCAACTCAAGTTTGTACATTCAACTATCTTCATGTTCTAAAACAGACCCTCATTCTCTATGCACCTGTTTTTTTTTTTCCGTGCGGGAATCCCCTCGGATACCACCTATCGGTGGCATGTCGGACTCGAACCGACTAAAACCGCACGCCGTCTCAGATACTAATAGCCGGGGAACATACCATCGGCATACGACATACCTCGGGCCATCTACAACAACAGGTAGACGACCCCCCCCGTGTGGGAACCCCATGTTCCCTGGATCATTCTCTATGCACCTAAAGCTGTAGCTGTTCTTTGTTTTACCAAAAAATAACAAATACTCGTAATATTCTAATTTTGAACCTTAATGAACATAAGAATTAAGCAAGCTTTAAGTCTTTAAATTTGGTCAACATGTTTCTATTGAGTCAAAATAACTAATCTAAAATATTGATGTTTACATTTTAGTAAAAGTAGTAGTTATTTTAGTATACTTAGTAAAAGTGACGAGGTGTGTGTAGTGGAAAGTGGATTTTTTCAAAATACACCCCCAGACAATGATGCTAAAAGGGTTTTGGTTGACTAGAAATTTAAATTGCAATGTATTGTAAGATAAAAAGGTATATTAGGTGGCTTAACATTCACTGTTAAACTACGAAATACTATTAATTCATATACCTATAATAGTAGTTCAATCAGAAACTACAGTTCAAAATAGACACATGACCTGTGGTTCTTGTTACCTCTTTTACGTTGGAAGATAGAAGTTATATAAATAAACATGTCACAATAGGAAAGCAGTTAATGAGCAGAAAGAGTTGAAGCTGCTCCTGGACATGTACAAGGGCGTGAGCAAGGAGCAGCGCGACAAGGTGCAGCTCATGGCGGCGGAGAGGAAGGCGCGTCAGGAGCTGGAAGACCACCGGCAGAAGGCTAAGATGGCACAAGTAAATGTACCGTGGTTTTCTTTGGATTTTATTACTTTACATAGCATCAACATCATGTCTTCACATCACTTTGATGACCTGTCTTTCTACTTGTCTAGTATATTTTTCTGTATTCCTATGGGCTTTACATTTGAATTTTAAATTTTGTATGTTTTCAAGGGTACACTTGAAAACATACAAAATTTCATGATAAACGAATAAGTTAGTTAAGGCGAAAATGCCTAACAAATAAGCTCGCAAGTAGTAAACTCTCTTAAAACCTGGAAATCTTAAAACTAACAATTAGAAGGATCTAGCATTAATTATACATCTTCTGGCACTAAGTCCCACGCCACCTAAGGCGCAGGCACAGATAGTATTTAATGTACCGATATTCACCTAATACTTATTTTTTTATAGGAAAGTAAACGCGAGCGTCGCCTAGCAGACGAAGATGCGTTGCGTAAGATCAAGCAATTGGAAGAACAGAAGTATGAACTTCAGAAGCAGTTGTCTTGTGCCAGGCCCAATACCGACCCCCTGCACGGTTTCTCAAGGCCATTCGCTGGATCACCAGTATGTTTAAACTTTTAAGCCGTAGTTTATTAATAGCTATCGTCCGAAACGCAGCTTAATTTTACATTGTTTATGCCATGTATTTACATAGGATAAAAAATATCTTAGTGTCCAAACTTATAAATCCAGATTGTTGAACAGCATAACATCTTCACTTTCATAGAAGAGGACTTTAAAAATTTTCATGAATTTTCCAACTTTTATAACATTTTCTTTTTCAATGAAATTTAATCTGATGATTATAAACACGATAAAAAAAAATACACCGTTAATAATATTGAAATTTATTTATATAGTTGTTGACATACCTACATTAAATTGTCTTGTTTAGAGTTATTAGATTGATACATTAAATAAATTACTGTAATGATTTGGATCAAATTTTATGTATTAAGTTTGTATTTTATGTTATTTGTAATGTTGATTTATTTTCTGAATAAACGTTTTTATTAAAAAAAATATGGAAATAGAATATTTTTGAAAGCTTAGGTAAAGCAATGGCATGATTTTAATGTACCTACGGTTATTATGAAACACGATTTTTTTTGATTGATCTAAATTTTTACTTTTGATTAAAACCAGGAAGAAGAAGCTCTCCTAAATGAAATGGAAGTGACAGGTCAAGCGTTCGAAGACATGCAGGAGCAAAATTCGCGGCTCATTCAACAGCTGCGAGAGAAAGACGACGCCAACTTCAAGCTTATGTCCGAACGCATCAAGGCTAACTCATTACACAAACTGCTCAGAGAAGAGAAGCAACTACTACAAGAGCAGGTATTGATTTTAACTAACATAGAAAAATGTCATATTTGGTACTGTTTCAACAGTTTTTCACCCAGGACAAATATTGTGTGATGAGCACGGTCATTTGTTCTGTGTCTGGGTGTAATTTATCTATAATATTTATGTATTTAAAAATATATAAGTATATTTATGAGCAGTCTATTTACCATAATATTTATAACAATATTTTCACACATGGTTGTCTGATCCCAAACTAGGCAGAGCCTGTACTATGGTAACCAGACTGCTGATAAACATACATATATATTTCTAAAAATATACATATTAAATAGATAAAGTACACCCAGACACAAAACAAATGACCATGCTCATCACACAATTATTTGTCCTGGGTGGGAATCGAACCTACAACCTCTTTTGTAGGAGTCAGGCTCATTAACCATTAGACCAACAGGCCAGGTACAGGTTCTGCCTAGTTTGGGGATCAGACAGCCGTGTGTGAGATACATTATTATTCATGTGCGGGGCTTCGTCACAAATAGGCCGGATCGACCGAAGTGATACACAGCCTCACTGAAAACTGGAGTTGCTTTGCACCGAGTGAGGGAGCCCAAACCCCTTCCTCCTTATTTTGGGGGGAGGGACTCAACGTGCGGGTAAGAACGCACTTTGTCTATGGGCAGCGGTGGTCACTTACAATCAAGTGACCCATCTATTCGTTTGTCTCCCCCCATACCATAAAAAGAAATACCTCTTTGGAACCGGTTACGCAAACACGGATTTTTCTTTCGAAATAAAATGAGGAACTGAAGTAACAACATATTATATATATTGCCATATTTATCACCCGCGCAAACTTGTCTGGTGGTGTTCAAATCCTAAGGTCACTTATATATTCCTCATTTTTATTATTATCATCCAGGTTTTAACTCGTGATCAGCAAATAGAATCGATGGGCGCGGTGGCTCGTCGCTTAGAGGAGAAAGAACGCTTGCTCCAAGCGACGCTGTCGGCCGTCGAGAAAGAGTTGCTCCTCCGGCAACAAGCGATGGAAATGCACAAACGGAAGGCTATCGAGTCCGCTCAGTCCGCAGCTGACCTTAAATTACATTTAGGTATGGAGTTATTTGTTTTTTTAAAGAAAAAATTATCTACATATGACTGCAGCATGTCGTAGTGGTTTAAGCGGTCACCACGCCGGTTCATACTTCGCTGAGTGTTGTGAATTCGATCCCCCACATGGGACAACACTTTGTGTGATGCACAATGCGGTTGTATGTGATCCTGCCGTGTACATATTATAATATTTAGGGATCAAGTATATTTCACCCCATTACACTAGGGTCCGGTAGGGATCCGTGTGGTGACGGATTAAGAAAACGGAGTTTCACCACCACCCCTACACATCCCGTGGGTGTCGTAAGAGCCGACTAAGGGAACTAATTACGCAGGACAACAGCACTTCAAAGAGAATAAAATCTTGAAACAAACCATTTTTTTGTTTTTTTTTGAACGTGTGGCCATGGAGCGTACTACAGCCGTTAGCGAGAGATCCACTCCGATGACTGCAGTGAGGGCCCGGCGCTGCGTCGCCCATGCAGGGCAGACCGCCAGCGTGTGCTGGGCCGAGTCCTCACTGCAGTCGCAGTGGTGGCAGGCGGGACTCAGTTCCCTCCTAGCGACCGAGTGCAGGTACTTTCCGAAGCAACCGTGCCCGGAAAGCACCTGCGTCAGCCGGAAGGAAAGGGCCCCGTGCTGCCGCCCTGCCCTGGCTATGACCGGCTGGAGAGCCTCCACGGCGGCGAAGCCAGCGCGTGGAGTCTCCAGCCGGAACGACCATCTGACCATGGTGGCTCGGCGAGCGGCTTCGCGCCACTCGCGCACGTCCTCGGGCGGAGGGCGAAATCCGCTCTCCGCCCGGAAGTCAGCCACTCGCCGATAAACTTCGGCGAGCACTTCCGCCTCCAAATCCCACGGGGGTGTTCCGGCCAAGGCGCAAGCCGCCTCGGTGGACACCGTGCGGTATCCACGTATGGCTCTGACCGCCAATATCCTCTGGGGGCGCCAGAGGCGCGCCCTATTCGGGGCGGTCAGGGCCGCCACCCACACCGGTGCACCATAAAGCGCCATGGACCGGACAACCCCCGCGTACAGCCGCCTCGTGGGAACACTGGCCCCGCCCAAATTGGGCAAAAGTCGCCCTAGGGCGGAGGCAGTGTCCACCAGCTTCGGACCAAGCTGTCGGAAGTGCTCGTCGAAGAGCCACCTACCGTCTAGGACCAGTCCCAGGTACCTCATCTGGGCCCGGACCGGTACGAGGACCGAGCCGACCTCGATTGAGGCGCCGGCGGGTGGACCACGACGGGGCCCATGAAATAATAGGGCCTCCGTCTTATCCAGGGCCACCCGTAATCCCAACGCCTCAATGCGCCCGACCACCTGGGAAACTCCCGTGGCGGCCAGGCGCGCCGCCTCCTGGAAGTTAGCCCCCCGGGCCGTGAGTAAGGTGTCATCCGCGTAGCAGATTACACCCAGCCCGGGGGGGAGACGCCCTCGTAGGGCCCAGTCGTACCCGATGTTCCACAGGAGAGGTCCTAGGACAGACCCCTGCGGAACACCGCACGACATGGCCCAGCGTCTCAAGACGCCATTTCGGTCCTCGTACATGACGGTTCGCTCCTCAAGATAATCTGCCACCAGCCGCCTCAGGTACTCTGGCACTCCGTGGTAGCGGAGCGCTTCCCTGATGCAGCTGAATGGCAGACTATTGAAGGCGTTGGCGATGTCCAAGGACACCGCCAACACCACTCCGCCGCAGCTCACGGCCTCCTCGGTCACGGCCGGTATAGGCCGCGACCGATTCGGCAGGCCGTCCCGGCTTCTGCAGCAGGACCAGCTTTCCGCATTTCCAGCGCTCAGGGAAGCGTCCGGACGCCAGGCTAGCGTCCAACACCCCCCTGAGGTGGTCCGACATGTAGTCGAGGGCTCGGGCCATCACTCGGGTGAAACAAACCCTACACCAACCCAGCCAGCTTGTTATAGTAGTCCAAATCCTCTTTTCTAAAGAGAGGCCTATGTCCAGCAGTGGACTATTAAAGGCTGTTGATGATAACACTAGGTTCTGTTTTGTAAACCTGAACTATATAAATAAGGTACATCCACTAACAATCTGTGTGACCAGCATGGTCAGACTTAGAGTGGTACTAAGGTTAGAAAAAGAAACAGGTCTTGTCGAGGATCAGTGAGCCTGTCACCAAGCTTTGGGTATGTCACAGATCTTATCATGTAATGTACGACTTTCAGAGAAATACCATGCGCAAATGAAGGAGGCGCAGCAAGTTGTGGCTGAAAAGACGAGTGCATTAGAAGCAGAAGCATACAAAACAAAAAGACTACACGTGAGTAGCTGCTGGAATTTAAAAAAAAAACAGGAAAAGTCTAGTTTTGTCTTAAATCTAATTTACTTTTTTTATAATCAATGTTATTTCCTAATTTTCTATGATTGCTTATCAAATCAAGTTCTCTTCTTCTTCTTCTCTCTCTCAAAATCTATTCTTTTTTAACAGTGGGGTACCCTTTTAAAACTGTAATAATAATAATAATCTTTATTGGCACAATATACAAGTAGGTATATAGTAGTAGAAATCTCAATAGAGGTACAGAAAATCTTACTTTTAGTGTTCTGTTGGTACTTAAAATAGGATATCCTGAAAAACAGTGAATAAATAAAACAATGAATATTTAAATGTGTTTTAAAATTTAAAAACGAATACATCACATTAACTCATAAATAATAATAAATAAGCAATATCCAACCAGAACAGTTAAGCATACCCCTTTCCTGAAGCCCTATACCTTTCTATGGCTCATTAATATGTAATGATCAACACATTAAATTGACACGTACAGGAGGAGTTAGCTATCCTGCGTCGGAAGGCGGAACGAATGAAGAAGATGGAACAGGCCGGTAGTAGTATGGATGAAGTCCTTCTTGAAGAGATACGGGAATATAAAGAGACACTCACATGCCCCTCGTGCAAGGTATATTTCTACTGTTTTATTTATGGATATTTGTATTTTGTTACGTATTAAATTTGTTCTTCACATCAGTCAAAATAGGCAGCAATCAGGGTCGGCATTTAAGATAACGTTGAGCGCTAGATTGCGCTTGATATCCTTTATTTCAGTCAGTTCCCCCTTTGAATTAATATTTCTTTTTCCTAACGTCATTGCAATTTCACTGAATAAAATACTGTTAAGTGTGAAGAAAGTCTATCAATTTTAACCTTGCAACTTATGTTTCCGTTGCAGGTAAAGCGCAAAGACGCGGTACTAACGAAATGCTTCCACGTGTTTTGTTGGGATTGTCTGCGCACGCGCTACGAGACGAGACAGCGCAAGTGTCCCAAGTGCAACGGTGCCTTCGGCGCCAACGACTACCACCGGCTCTACCTCTCTACCTAGGTACTGCGACTCGCCACTCTCTACACTCGTGCAGCCTGCTTAGTCACCTAAAAAATCCTCTGTGTACGTATTGTCCTCTCTATCTTTGTACTTAAAAAGAGCGAGACACACAGCAGAGAGGCAAAATAATATTGTCTTGGTGACACTAGTTCAGAGAAGTCTTGTAGTACTCTATGGGTCGAATAGATCGTTTAGTTATAGCATCCATCACACTGACGGTACTGTATGACAGTGAGCCGTACATTTTACGTGCAATTGTATCTAGCCAAAGGAGAAGTGACCGATCTGTCAATTTGGAGAGGTCAACAGACCTTCACTTAAGACGTGAACGCTAAAATGACATTGTATTTACATGAAAATCGGTTACGAACCTAAGATTTGCCATACTTCGTGTATGGAGAAATATTTTACTGAATTTTGTAAGTCTATTATTAATGTATATAATTTATTTTTGGCGAAAACTCACGACTTTATTTTGATTGACACAAATTGACGATGTGATCTCAAAACTACCTCGGACAACGACGCTGTCCTTAATGCTGAGTATGGCAAGTATTAGCTTGGTACAGTATTCAACAAAAGGGGTGTTCACCGGTAGTGAATACTGTGTAGTTCGAGTTTTACTGTAAGTTTTACAAGTTTTAACTTGTTCGGACGACACTCTAAACAACCAACTTTATATTTAGACGCCACTTTTTAGGTATAAAATGATACTACTTTTGTTATTCCTTGACAGTTCTTAAAATAATCACTGAACTATCAATGAATGACTAAAACATTATTGCGGTGGTTATAATTTTGTATATGAATATTGTTTGTGACTGAAATTGCATACATTTGTTGCCAAATCCAGAAACACAAATAAAATTAGCTCCAAACTTGATGTTATTTTAAATTACAACCATTAAACACGAGTGGCTAAAGAGTAATTTAATATTTAAATGTAGACTTGTGCAATCTCTTGTTTATATTACCACCGAACGTCTTTAAACGATCAACTCGTAGTGAGTGAGAAAGCATACGGTCTCCATCAGGAAATAGCTAATGAACATATTAAAATCTCTAAAAGACAACGAGTGTTGTCTTTGAGAGTGAGGGACTAAATCACGCTAGACTTTATTGTTAAGAAGTTCATTCAAAACGCTAATAGGTATTATTTTTATATAATTTTGTTCAAATACATAATAATAAATGGCATCGAGTGTCTGATATGTGTGACAAAATATATAAAAATTCTATTTATTAATTGTTTTGTCTGTAAAAATATATAAATTGCTCTTAGTTGCAGATTCAGTTACGCTTCCAATGACTCAATTGTGCAACTTGGCAAACAAAACTAATTTATTTAAACCGTTACATTGATTCGTATGTTATTTGTCGAGAAGTACCGTGTAAGGGCTTCAACACTATCGATTGTCTACGTGTTCTGAGGCACATTAGTACTAGCCCCGCGTTACTGCGGCGTCACACAGCGGTGGTGGGGACAGGTCGGGTGCGACCGCTCGACAAACGCTAGTGTGTAGGGCCTATAACCACGTGTATATCATCACTTCTGGCGACGAGTTCAATATTACGATAAAATGTTAAAATGCACGAGTTAATTAAAGTGAAATGTTCATTCCTGTTATATCTGTTAGGTTTTGTGTAATAACTTCCTCTATTATTCAAATGTAAATTTGGTTTTCTTTTTCATCTGTCGCTGAATTTAAAGTTTGACGACAATTTTGTGAAGGTAAACTATATTCGAATTTAAACATAAACTTCGCATCCTAATAGCAGGACTATCCTTTGTTGCAAGTTGCTAGTACTTTCAAAGGTGACATAAACTCTTGGACACATCAATGATATTTATCTGAACTCAAACTCAATGGTTTTACTAGAGCCGATCCGAACCACATTTACATACAAAATTCCATTTCGATACTACAGTTACAAGTATGTTAAAATTAACTTGTCCACATTGGTTTATATTGTTATATAGTTACATACTTGATTGGTTGCCTCAAATACTCCACCGGCCTAATTTTTTCTACTGTCGAATTCTCCTAATGCAATGTTGTTTTGATTACACTTAAATTCAGCGCCGAATTAATAAGAAATCACAAATGTGACGTTTAAAGGTATTAAGAATTTAAATGTGCATTTCACGACGTTGCGTGTATATTAAAAACATTATTGATGTTGTATATTAAGATGAAATATCATAAAATCGAACAAGTGGATATAGTTTATATATCTGTATTTAGTAATAAATAAATATACTTATTGTTAAACAAATTCTTGAGGTTTGTATGAATGGGTGATAGCGCGAGATGACTTATTTGTATTGTAGTTAGGACAAATAGACTTTAGCTTACAGCCCACTGACTGATATATTTGTATATTTTAAGTTTAACTTTTTGATCGGGCTTGCACCTGCTGAGCGGCCGATACGGCTAATGTCAGATTATTTCTTCGCTAGCATTAAATGAACTAAACATTATTACTTTAAGTTAATTTCGAATGTGAAGGTTATAATAGGAAGGATTTCAACACTTTCAGTAAGAAACGTAGCAATGAATTATATAAATTGTCTTTTGTACGTGTGCGTGGATTAAAATGATTATGTAATGGGTTAGTTCTAATATTATTTTACTGTTGTAAAGTTAAACAGCGGGGGAACAATTTATTTGACAGTATTGGATCGATATTATTATTCGTAGATAATCGCTATTCATGTTTAGTTGGACCAACTACGCATTGATTATCTAGATCACAATTTTGCTGCGATTTTTTAATAATTCTGTTCCTACTTATAGTTAGTAGGATCTACGTTATAGTATTTAAAGAAATAGAACTATTTGAAGCGCAAGTATTCCTTCGTGGCATTATCTCATGACGAGAGTTGAGTTGACACCGGTATGAACGTGTATCTGACTGATCAATGTAAACGTGCGCGGGGCCATACAGTAGGCTCTATTCTGCATTAGTGAATGTCACTTGTTACTTGGTGGACGTAACTACGTATTGTCACTTTGTATATTTGGTATTATTTCAGAAATCACGTGTTCGATAAATGTATAACAATGTATCAGAAAATAAACGTTTACAGTGGGTTTACTATTTAAAAATCAAGTAAAGATACCCTTACTGGCATTTCATTGTAAAGTTAGAGAAGGCTGTAAAACATATTTAATTATTTAATGTTCAGTGGAAACTATTAACTATTTAAAATGTAACTTTGATGGACTACGTCGAATAAATGTCTCAACAAATAACATATATTCTGTTTTATTTATAATATTTAGACTTGCAACGAATATTCGGTTACTATTCGGTATTCGGCCTATTCGGCTGCTTTTATTATATTCGGCCGAATACCGAATATCTACATATTATTCGGCCGAATACCGAATACATAAATAATATATTTTGTCATTGAGAAATAATTGGTAAAATGAAAAATTAAAATCGATTGATTACGTATATATTCATATTTTCATTTCTGTTATAATCATTTAAGTAGTCATTGGTGCATAACACAGGTACATAATCATCTTCTGAATAGGAAAAATGGAGGATTCTATGTATTTGAATTATTGTGGCAATCAAAATTTAGAAGGGTAAGGTTCTCATTTCTTTTATAATCATTTATTAAGTAGTCATTGGTACATAAAACAGGTACATAATTTAATTCACGTCTGTACAAGTTTTTGGCGCTAAAATCCAGCCGAATACTTTTGCCTAATATTCGGCTATTCGGTCAGGGGCCTCGCCGAATATTCGGTATTCGGTATACTGCCGAATATACTATTCGTTGCAAGTCTAATAATATTTCTTATTTATCTGTCTGTTTTTATTAAATGCTGCTTTTGTTTTTTTTCTGGACTTTGAAGACGGCATTAAGGTTTATTGCCGAAAAAGTCGAAGTCGATTATATTGGTAACAAAAAAGAAATCATACGTTCGGGCAGAACAACATATGTGTTTCCGCTGTATTTTATATAGGATGTTAAACTAATCCTGTCAGTACCTATTATCACGAAATCATCAAATAATTAGTTTTTAAATTCTTGTAATATACCATGACTTTATATGACTATAAGTGTACCTTCCTGATCCTTTTCTAAACTATTTAGTAAAAAAACTAGATAAAATCTTATATAAGAGGGGAGAAGGGGACCTTCTATATGTAAGGGAAGGGGAGGGTGAAATAGTGATATTCGTTTCTAGGTAATCAAGCTTCTAAGCTCTCTCTCTTAACTATGTAATAACCAGTAAACAATTTTTGTGGTAACAATATGCAATAATAAATTCATTTAACTAAATCATCCAGAAATATGCCATTTTAATTTAAACAAGATTTAATTTTATTAATTTAACTCAAATCTATTGAATACTTATTAAAGTTAAAAAGCATATAATATGGTGTAACAGATCTTCACCCCCTTAGGGGTCACAAGGGCAAGGTTATACCTGTCAGGATAGTTGAGGATTCAAAAAAGTCGGCTGTGGTGTCCCACTACCTAATATTTATTTCCATTATCTAATACATAAACCATATCTAATACACTATATAGCTTGAGAATACAACAAAAAAAAGACCTAAGGTCCGTAACGACCTCTCTGAACAATAAACAAAAAAAATTGAAAGAGAAATTGGTGCCAAGAGTTAAAGTATTATAATTAGTCACTTAAATCTCTATTTACTATGCTTAAGACGGTAAGTGGTGGAGCTTGGTCGAATCAAACGTAGTCCCTTGGTATTACTTATATTAAAACACAAAAGAAAAAAAGAAAATGGAACTTCGGATACCGGGTGGCCACAGCCTAGAGGAGCTGATGAACACCGGTATTAGGTGTTCCGGTACCTTCAATGTCGTTTACCCGGCGGGGCAGACTATAGGTGAGGCACCGCCTCAGCGTTTCCTGAGTAGGGGCCCTTTTTTCCAGGCGTCCTCAGCCGGAAGCAATTTGTAGAGGGTAATGTTGGTAGATGCTCGAAGTCCTCGGAGCATCAGAGATAGCAGCAGTCAGTACAAATAGGTAGGTAATTAGGTTTAAATAGTAAGGGTAATGTATCAAATCAGGAGGTTATCATTATCCAGTGGGTGACCATCGGAGGAAGTTTATATTTAAGTAGCGGATTAGAGTAGGGGATGGTACCGAAAGAAAAAGAAAAAAAAACGTGAAACGGTATGCGGGAGCACTACACAAGAGGAAAAAAAACCCTTTCGGGTTTTTCCTGGTAATATTTGGTATCTAAGGCGGGTGACGCCTCAGCATGCGAGCCGATGCATTTCTGGAGGTCCTCCCCAGATTATCGGGACCGAACGTCCACTGTATCCACTCTTCGAAAAAGAAGCCTCCTCGCCGTCTTCGCGCCGGCAAGAGTTCATCTGACGTATATCATAGGGTTGGGATGAACGGTGTGATCCGTTGATTGAAGCGATTATTCACATCGACTAATCGATTTACCCGTATTTATACACGAAATCGCATTCGATAAAATATCATAAATAAAATGGAATTGTCCTTTTAAAATACGACGTTACAATGGTATCAAAATTAAACTTAAAACCAACATAACTGAGTAGCTCCTCCTCTCTTCTGATGGTGCTGTGCCCGACAGGGCCCATTACTGTTGCCTATTTTTAAGCCTAAAAGAAGGGTTTGTGTCAAGTTTTCCTTCTCTTTGCAGTGCTTTGGTCCTAGATAGTTTATGGAATGCAATAAATTTAATTGACCTAGGAAGAATTCTACTGATCCTAATAATGTGTATTCAAACTCACCGTAGATAAATAAAACTGCGGTTTGACATTCTGTATATTTTATTTACATACATAAATGTATTTACATCGCATGATTTCACGATAGATTTAAAAATAAATTCAAGTTTACCTATGAATAGGTCTACTGACTTGGGCAGTTGGGTATTGAATAAATTCTGTATCGATATATTGTAAGTATTCCTAATGATCGATTACGTACATCATTAGCACCTGAAGCAAGCGACTTGGATGGACGAAGCGTTCAACTGATTTTGTACTATTTACAAAGAACTTCATTGCATTTTTACTTACATTCAATGTGGTGCAAAAAAGGGAATTTACACAATTTAAGTCATTCGTCTTAAACAATATCTTAACACTCAACATTCCAAACTCGAACAATACCGCCAACGCTTCAACTATTCGTTCAACGTAAATACAATATCAGTCTCTTATGTTTAATTTTGTCTAACTTGCAACGCGATCGCCATTAAATACCGTGTACATAACGTAAGTACTGTACGTATGCTAAGCCTTATTATGGCATCGTTGCCTATATTTAATTACAATTAATAAGACAACAGACATGTAAATCATCTTATACACAGTATAGAAGTTATCGGTGACATTATATATTTCTGATAATAATTTATTATATGTTCGAATTCAAGTACCGAATGTTATTGACTAGATCAGAAAAATAAATATTGCGGTACAACTGTATACCATTAACTTTATTTACATTTATTGTTTTTATATTTGTGATACATTACGTTACATCGAATTATCTAGAAAGGAACAATACTGATCGCTAATAGTACGTGTGCATTAAAGTTCTTATATTTATAGGAGGTGGGACTAGCGATATATTTGTTATTAAATTTGTGTGACGTCATATACAACTTACATTTTATGTAGCGAAATAAATATATATTTCGACCCAAGATCAGTACTAGATTACAACTAACACTAATGGCACATAAATACTTCTGTCATGGAGAAATTGATGACGAACAGTATTTTGGACGAGACGATTTGTTAATAAGCAATAATCTCTCTTTCAGTGCAACATGTCGACAAATACATAAACACTATTATTAAATAATACAAATAAAGTGTTAATTCATAAATATTTTTGCAAGACGATTGAAGAGTTCAGACATATTTTTTTAAATGCAAAATTGGGAATGAAAATGTTAGCTTAAGTTATATTAAATAAACAATTATATAAATGATACAATATTATTTTGTTCAAAGCTTGATAGTTTCATTTCATTTCATTTTAAAGATTTTTCCGAATTGAGATCCGACGAACACGGTACGGTACACTATGAACACTTATCGTTAAATGCTCATTTATACAGGGATATTTTTTTAAGTATACAACGGATATTCGTTAAAAATAACATAGGTTTTTCGTTTAAAAACGAGGAACTCACGTTATGTGACCTTTTTGTGTCATTTTGATTTTTCTTGGATGATAATCAGGTAAGTAAAAATATATTTCATTATATTGTTTACAAGTAAACTTATAGTTACAACATTGATTCGTTTAATAATATCAAATAAGATACGGCCGTGTCGTTCTAAATATAATAATTATTTATCTAATATATCAGTAGTTTTCAGTAGTACTACAACAATAATGATATATATTTTTCTAGGTCGATAGAATGGCAGCTAAGCGGTATTTTTTAATAGACTATCCTCGTTTAAACGAATCTATATTTCAATAGCTCTACCACTTTTAGTACGATATTTACTTCTCAAAGTTTCTCTACTATACGTTCATCGGACACGGCGTGGACTACGCAGGACGGACGACGCGTTCCGCGCGGAGGGCAAACGTGAGCCTTTCGATATTGAGTAGTAGCGAGCGTGCAGCTCCGGTCTTACAATTAAAGATGGCTACCGGAGATAACGGGAAACGGTACTCGGCCAACTACAGAGAGCGGCACTTTAAAGTAATCTTTCCCGGCAAGTGAGAATCTTAAATAATCAAAAAGCAATAGGGTCGTAGCTAACTCCCGGTGAGGGTCCGCTACGCGGTGCTCTGTAGCGCGGCGGGGGTCGTGGCGGGGGCGGGGGCGGCGGCGGGCGGGGGCGGGGGCGGCGCGGCGAGCGCGAAGGCGAGGCGCTCGAGGCGCGCGCGCAGCGAGGCGAGGCGCGGGGAGCGCGCGCAGCCCGGCGCCGCGCCGAGCGCGACCAGCGCGCCGTCCAGCGCCACGTACAGCGCGCGGCGCTCGCTCTCGCTGCACGCCGACAGCTCCTGCGGGACGGTCACACGTCACTTTACCGTTTGTAACACGCCTGTGTCCTCCAGTTACCGTAGACTACGATCGAGTCTACGGTTGGGCCTTAAAATCTATACTAATATTATAAAGCTGAAGAGTTTGTTTGTTTGTTTGTTTGTTTGTTTGTTTGAACGCGCTAATCTCAGGAACTACTGGTCCGATTTGAAAAATTCTTTCAATGTTAGATAGCCCATTTATCGAGGAAGGCTATAGGCTATATATCATCACGCTAAGACCAATAGGAGCGGAGCACCAATGAAGAATGTTTCAAAAAACGGAGAAAATTTATTACTATTGAGAGACGCAGACGAAGTTGAGCGGATCAGCTAGTTAACAATAAGACGGTTATATGTATACGGTGTCCCCTTGTACCTACCCACGTAACGGTCGAGAGCTCGATCGGTAAAGATGTCGCGCCTTATACTCGGACGCATAGTACATCTTTTCGACAAAAATATATCAGTACCCAAATCTTTTATCGACCGATGTGTTCCTGTTACCACCGTCCGAGTCTGGTTATCCTCCGTGTTCCTTTTCTTACGTGATATATTTGTATGATCCCCGCGACAGACATAGTTTCCGATGCCGGAGTTGTATTAAAAATATCAATGAAGTCGCAACGACAGCTGTTACAACACATTATATTAAGATTCGTGAAAACAATATAATGTTACACTGACCTCTTCGACAGCTTCAAAATCATCCTCTTCACCGGCCTGTGCCAGTTGCATCTTGAGCGTCTGTGAAATAATATTACAACTTTCAGAAATATAATACAACAACATAACGTAAAAAATATGAAGTTTTTTATGTACAAAACCCTTTTATCCCGCTACACATAAATATATTATGTATCATATACATAATTAACAAAAAGAAAACTTGAAACAAACCCTATACCAACGCTTGGCCAACGTGGTATAATAGTAAGCCATAGTCTATGTCCAGCTACTGTTAATGTAATATAAAATGCATAATTATGTTTACCATTATCCTAAAATATTTACTCTTATAATGTACTTCCATTATTTAAAGAATAAAATAAACATTTTGTTTTATACTTGTGTCCTTTTGTATTTCAAAATATTTTTGTGTGATGTATCACCAAAATATTGTCAATATTAATATTAACGGTTAATAATGTGTAATACCAATTGTAATATACCCATTTTCGGAAGTTCCTTAATGCACTTTAAAAACTGTGACTATCTTTGTCTCGATGGACCATATTCGTCACTGCAAGTTCAGTTTACAATTAAAAAAAAAAAAAAAAAAAATTATATAAAATAGCCATGAACTTAAACATTTAAATGACAAGCAATGTGTGCCATATGATCTTCATAGTTTATCACAACGCTCAACTATGAACGTCTTAATCCTATTTTTAATTTGGAAAATCAAGAATCTATTTTGAATAATATTTGTTTATATATATAGTGTTCTGTCGGTGACTATATACATTTGTGCTTCGTATCGCATCGACGCTGCAGCATTGAAAGCCTTTAATGACGTCAATACGTTCTCTCCTAATTTGACCAGAAATCGTTAGTGTATACTACAAAATTATACATAAATAATTGTTATCTTGCTGTATTAATAATTCTTATTAAAACGTTTAAATTTACTTAGTACTTTGAACAAAATTTTGTATTTTTACCTTAGCCCTAACTATGCTTTATACAATGATGTTGTCATTGAATAAAGCTTACAAATCGGCATTATTAATACAGAAAGACTAGGTATATACTACATATATATGTGGATATATATTTTGTATATGCTGGGAGAGAACATAAGACACTTAAGTGCATCTATCTAGAAGCCGTGTGATAGCTGACAGAGTAATGTATTGTAGGTATAAAGTTAATTATTGACCTTGGCGCCTTATTCTTGACTCGAGATCGCCAAGCAGGGCCTGAATGGTGTAAATAGCTGTTTTACATTAAACCATTTAACGGTACTAGATATACTAAAATAAGGGTATACATACAACTAAATATATCAAAATACGGTGTGGAGTTTGATTTATAAAGGGCATGACTTTAAAAATAATTTTCATTTGTCAAATAGAGAATCAGTTTTTCAAATCGATAGGTTTTTTATAGCTAGTCTTTATCTGCGATCCGTAGACATTTTTTTCATTAAAAACTTAACTGAAAAGGAAAAATCTGAAAAATAAAATGACTTCCAATATTGCCTACTAATTAACTGAGAAACAGACTGTTCCATAGAGTAGGAAGTAAATACGTTAGAGTAGCAAGTATGTACGTAGATGGTATACGCTATGTATACGGTATACAGCTTGTTTATCGGTTAATGACATCATCGATCTACTTGGTATTTGCAGTCAGAATATAATAATTATTATTTTAATCTTTAATATATAATAGTTTTGAGTTTAAATTGAATAAATTTTAGTTTTTAAAACATTACAATGAATCATTTAGTTCTAACGTAATTGCTGGTTACGCAGTATATGATAAGTTAATATAGATTCTCTGTTTGAAAAATCCAATATTTTTGATATATAAATATGTATATTCATAGAGTAGATGACACTTACTTCGACGGACTGCCTGTAATGCTCCATCATGTTCTTGCTGGCGTCCAACTCTGCTAGCTTTTTTACTACCACATCAGTTACATTCTTCTCTGTCAAGTCTATTTTATCTCTGGAAATAGACATACGCGGGAATGTTAGCATAGTAGATATATTAATAATACGTAAAGATTATCTTTAAAACCATGAGTTATTAAAGAAATATGGTTGCGATCTGAGAGAAGCTTTCGTTAGTGATGAGTCAGTTAAGCTCAAAATTAGTAAGCTCAAAAAACTAATGACTCAAATAAATCATTTTTACCCGACTTAAAAAAAAGAAAAGTTTTTTTTAATAAACAAAATAGAATAAAAGTATAGATTATATCGAAAAGATGAGCATTACTTTATAGTTTAGTATTATATTCAGGCTATTTTTGGGAGTATAAGATTAGCAATAAATATATACGCTGGCTTACAGAGCTTAGAGCTTCAGTTCTGTAAGCCAGCGTATATATTTACAATATAAAATCGAGATCGTTTTCGATCCGATCCGATCGATCGACGCGTAAGTTTTATGATGTGTATGATGTGATTTCTCGGCAACGATTGTCCTCTCCGTACGATAGATGAGCGGTACCTGAGCGCGGCGGCCAGGCGGCCGGAGTCGGGGTCCCCGCGCGCGGCGGCGGCGGCCGCGGCGGCCCGCAGCGCGGCCAGCAGGCGAGACAGGCGCGCGTCCAGCTGCAGCGCGCGGGTCAGCACGCCGCCGCGCTCGGCGTCCAGCGCGTCGGCCGCGGCCGCCTCGGCCTCCGAGCGCTGGCGCGCGCAGATTGCTGCCGACAGCGTGCGGAGTGACTCGCGCTCCGACGCCGACGCCGACTCGCCCTCTGCCGACCACCACGCTCGTAAAACCCACGAATTCAAATAGCTCACTTTAATTACTCTTGTGATTCGATTGTCCGTTATAATGATTTTATATATTCTTTTGGGGTATATTCAGAACATGAAATATTTAATCTAACATCTTTCCTCTCGCTTTCCTACATCTGTCGAGTCGAATAAAATGTGTACACATTTCTAGAAAATACTTTAACTTATTTTCTTAAATAAAATCCATCACTTCAAGTAAACAATTAATACTACTTGTGCAGGCCAGACTGAGGTGGTACTGACATGTATTGCGAAGACGCGATGACCATATGAAAAAGTGCCTTTCCATGGCTACACAGAGGAGAGGGAGAGGCAGACCACAAACTACCTGGATGACAAATGTCCAAAGAGACAAGAGGAAGTCAGGCCTGTCCACTGACGATGCCCACCAGCGAAATGTATGGCGTCGCATGATAGGGAAAGCCGATCTCGCGTAACGGAAATGGGCGAGGGCAAAGAAGACTTCAAGTAAACAAATACAATATAATAGTTAACCTTTATCATCCACACAAAAATCTCTTTCAGGCGAAAGTTCATCGCCGCTCCAAGCACCGGCTCCCTCCGCTCCCGACCACCATTCTTCAGCGCATTCTGTTTATTAAATATACAAATATTTGAAATACATCACAATGTAACTTTTCAACTATTATTTGATTCCTTTTGACTGCTGTATTTAAATAATTTACTTCTTTCTTTAAATGTCTTCAAGTCTTAAAAATCACCTTACTCGCACCGTTTGTTATGTTACACACGACCGCGATTTTTGTATTGAATTACAACAGTTAAATAGAGAGCTGTGTGCTTTTTGTCTTTTCTTAACTAATTTTAACAAGGAACCAGCATTCTAAAACGTCAATTTGATTTATTAAAATTTTCATACTACCGAATTCAAAAACAGTGCGATTCGATACTAAATAGTTTCTGCAACATAGCATCGATATCGCTTTATTCTGGATCGTTTGAGGGCTTAATATCTTCTATACGTCGATTCAATATGATCATCTTTTAACGAGAGGCGGTAGTCAGTGTGTACGTTACCGGGGTCGGTGACGAGGCACGGCTCGGTCTCCGAGTCCAGCAGGTCGGCGGAGTTGTCGTTGTCGTCGGACACGTGCGAGCGCTCGTCGTCCCTGGCGAGCGCGGGCGGCGCCGGGGCACAGCGCAGGGCGCGCGCCACGCTCGCCAGCAGCCCGCCCGCGGCCCCCGCGCCCGCCGCCTCCTCCTCCGGGGACAGCGCCTCGCCGCTGTCGCTGCGGCTGGGGACGGATCGTGGTCAAGGGTGAGGTGGCTTAAATAAGCATTATAGATTGTCTCGAAAAGCTTTTTTTAGTTGTATGTGCCTCTTTTTTTAAATTCTAATGTTTCGATTTGAAAAATAGTTTGAATTTGATAAGGGTCACAAGTGCATTGCTACCTTTTGAGTCCTTCCCTCTAGAATGAGGGGGAGGAGGGGTTTGGGCCAGATAACCTCATTGACTTGGTGAAAAGCATCGAAAGAATTTCTTAACACCGGTTTTCTGTGAGGCTCCGGTATCACTCCGGTCAATTTTTCAAGAAGGTCTTCGGGTATCTAAACTGCTCCTCCTCTTTTTTCTGTGCGTTACTCCCCTCGTATACTACCGCCGGGGAACCAGGTATACCCTGGAAAGGAAAGCCCTGGTACCTCGGACCGTCTACGGCTTATAGATGATCCACTCCTGATCTAAACTGCTCCCCTGATTGTTATATGGGTACGTAGTATCAAATGACAGAAGTCGGATATAGTATAGTGGCTATAGTACCTGTACAGCTCGTTGTGGTAGACGGTGGGCTCGAGCGCGTCGCTGGGCAGGCGGTAGGCTCGGTGCACGGCGCGCGTGAGGCGCGCGAGGCGCTGCGCGAGCGCGTCGAGCGCCAGCAGCCCGCGCGTGGCGCCGCGCCCGCGCGCCGCCGCCGCCGCCTGCAGCGCCTCCTGGCGCCGCTGCTCGCACATGCGCACGAGCTGGCGGCACTCCGCTCGCCTGCTCACACACAATCATTACTAAACATTACGTAGCCGGTTTCGGATAGTCTACCTATGTATTACTCCTGTTTCTATACCATCTACTTAACCTAACTGTCTCCCCGAAGAGTGCCCATATTAACTACCTTTCCCCCGTTGCTGTACTAATATTAACCTAAATATCTCCCCGAGAGTCTTAAACGATTCGAATTAAAATCGTCAAAATTAAAATCGTTTTACCGATTTTAATTTTGTTCAATATTACGTTCGGCATTAAAGTAATAAAAAAATAGTAAATTAAATTCACACATTGAAACAAAGACAAGGCAATGACAGGAAAGCGATACTGCTGATATGCCGATATGGACGAAGTCAGATGTGTTAACGAAAGCTTAGGAAGCCATCGAACTGGTTGTTGCAGGCAAGGCCGAGTCCTTTAACATAATATATATATATATATACAAGCACAAACCAAACTAATGAAAAAAAGTTTTTTATTTTCTTAAAAATCGAAAGATTTTTTATTTCCCTGCGCCCGTGTGCCACCCTTCTTTCATTAATTATTATTAAATGAATGACAACACTTAAATACCTTTTCAAAATGTTGCTTCACTACAATAATTCCTAAATCAAAATGCAATAATATAATTTTATAGCGTTACATTAGAAACCATAATTGTATGATTGTGTCATAGAATAATAAAAGATTTTAACTTCACCCACCTTCTATCGAGATCTGTATTGACCCGTGCTAACTCTGTTTCAGCTTCCCGCAGTGAATCACTAAGTGCTCCAGTTTCTGCAGCTAAAAAGTCGTGCATTTCAGCTGCCTCGCGCTCCGCCTCGCTCAGACGAGCCTCGGCCAGGCGCGCCGCCTCGCGGGCACTACACGCCTCCTACAACAACATTCATGAATAAATAAATTAATCATGGACAATGTGTAAAAAAATAAGGAAAACATACGAGCGTCTTCTAATAGCATAGAGCTTATTTGTTATGCTGTTAAAGTTGTCTATTTTTACTTTAAATGCATATCTAATATTAGAATTTTTGTACACAACTTAATTGGCAAAACATGAAGGTGACTTGCGTACTCCTAAGTTGTTATCAGTCACTATAAACACTTGCAGCACCAGTGATACTTCACTCAACTTTGATGTTTACAACATTAGAAATAGAGTAGACAGAAATAAATAGTTAAAACACCTTTTTGCTTATATTTGTTTTTCTTTTCTATTGTGTACAATAAATGTTATGATTATTGTAAAAACTAAGGTGGGATTTGGTTTACTCACGACGTGCAATCTGTTACACTGATCTCGTAGTGCATCGATCTCAGCTCGTTGTTTCGCTGCGAGTTCGCCTGTTGACCGTAGTTGCTCTTCCAGGGCACGCAGACATCCCTCTGCACCGGCACCCGCACCTGTTGTAACAATATTTAGAGATACAGAACAAATATTATTTGAATAGAATACAAAAGTTCCTCCATCAAATATGTGTGCCTTGTGTTTTTTATTTATTTATTGAAACTTTTCATTTGAGTTTTTTTTTCCGAGCGGAAGTTGTACGGAAGTGACATCATGACGGTCATTGATGTTGGTAACCTCTCGCTTGAGGTCATGATTATGGCCAATATGCTCCAGACATCGTTGGGTAAAAAACGGAACACGTTGGTGTTTTAGACGGCCCAGTGTTCTCTACCACATGGAGTACCTAATTTTGTTGTTATATGTGTAATGTTTCATTATTACTACTATTTGGAAGCAATCAAGTTTTTAAGTCAATCCACCTCTAGTAAGTAAGACCTCTTTAAACTTTTAATTTATGATAGATAAATTTATTGTGGTCGATAAATTTACATACTAAATGTTGCAAAAGCTTATCTTAATTATATGTATTTCCCAACTTTTATTGTTTTGTTTGTATCTGATACCTAAAGTTTATTGTAATAAGAACATAACAATGTCGATATTTTCTACTTATAACTTTTAAATTTACTTTTACCATTGACTACATCCAGCATAATTTGTAACACATTGTTATTTTGTGGACTTTCCCAGAGACAAAAACCAGAAACGGTAAAATTTGTGTAGTCAGGATTCATGTTAAACTCTAATTTGATTACCTCCTTGCAATCGTGCGAACTAGACCCAGCCCAGAGGGCAGGGAGGTGCCATGTGCCATAACCCACCTAGTTAAATGAACATATTTATATGCTAAAAAAAGTACCATGCTTAAATATGTTGACATCTCTGTTTAAAAGTTTCATTTGCTGTACTAATTTAACTTATGTTCATTTACACGATAACGTTGCTTTAAAAAACACGCGAGACGGATAGACGCAAACATGGGCTTCTGTGTTATATATAGCTCTTGCCTGTTACACGATGACATAATTTGTAAACACAACTGTTGATTGAAAAAGAGCGACCGAAGTATTCCACGCCTCGTTATTTTCTTTTATTTTTATCGTTGGTAAAGTTAATTTGGTCTTAAAAAATATACTATTATTAATTGTGAGTCAAAAATAGAAATGTAAGTAAATACCAAAGGATAACTTTACAGATGATTAAGATTAAAATTTGTAAGCTGTACTCCTCAAAAAAAATTTATCAGGTTAAAAGAAATATATATATATATATATATATATATTTATATGTATATATATATGTGTGTAAATCTCGTTGTCATAAAGTCAATGAACTCGTTAACATTGTAACTATGACTTTTAAAATTATACTACTGACAATTTGTGACATGATCCATTATATAACATTTTTAATCTAAAATATTTTGTAAAGAACGTGTGAAAATAAAATTGAAATCGACACAATAACAAGCAAAGGCAACCTCCAAAATCTCGAACACGAACTTTAAAAACAAGTCTTATTCAATCCATCCATTAGTAAATGACGTTATGTATAAAGATTTTGTTGAATTTATCTTTTAATGCAAGTTATACTTGAGAAATTTGCAACCGTGACATATAAAAGAGGTCGTATCGATTAAGAACAGCAATTAATCGACATTAACTAGCCACCTGTTAACCCCAGTCACTTATTATAGGACTAGTCCAATTCGCGGCTTCACTAGTGTGTTCTAAGTAACAATATAGTTAATAAGCTATGTGTTCTCGCTTTTCCGTGTGGTGACGGATTAGGAATACGGAATATGTCACCTCCCCTATTTATCCCGTGGATGTTGTAAAAGCCGACTAAAGGAGTACCTTACTCCTTCAGTACAACAGCACTGCAAAGAGAAGGAAAACTTGACACAAACTCTATACCAACCCGTCTGGCCAGCGTGGTAAAGTAGGCGAAAACCTCCTTTCTAAGGAGAGGCCTATGTAAAGCAGTGGACTATTAAAGGCTGTTGATGTGATGTGTGTGATGTGTTCTGGCTTATTTTAAGTCAACATTAACAGAAAACAGCAACTCAATAACGAGTGTATGTGAAGGTGCATGCACCAACACCCCACTACTAGATAAATATACAAAGAAGTCGCGCACAGTCTTATGTGAGCCTTGTCAGTTATCAGTACTTAATGCCTTTTACATCGAACAGCAATTCTTGCTACGAAGCTATGGATGTTATTTAGAGTGTACAAGCTGCCAAAGTCAAATGGCAGCGAGATTTCCTTATTTAGTGTACCGCTAGGTTACGAGCGTTCTGGAACGTTTTTATTACTAACAGTGAGCGTTTTATTATTACATTAAAACATGTTATTATATTTTTCCTCGTTCTATTTTTTCTTGTACAGCTTAATGCGCGGTGTAGCATATTCATCATAATCAAAATTTCCGTTTTCTAGAAAAAAAAAATACTTTCCAGGACAGTGACTACAGATAACAGGAAAGGTTATTTTAGTCTGTCGTAAGTCTGAACTAAACATAACACAACGTGAAAAAAAGAAAAAAAATATTTTTATCTGTAAGTCAATCAATTTTGTTATTATTTTTGGTTGGTACCTAGTTAGCCGTAGGAAAACTGTGACACTGTTCTCGTTTGTTTTATATTAAATGTAAGTTATGCTTTCATAAAACTTGATTGCGATGAATTTTTGTGTCGAACCTAAATAAATTTGGAATCCTGCCATAAATCTTTGACATATCGAATCCATTATTGAATAGTTTTACTAACTTTTAAACTTTCGCATTCCATGATAATTAATATTATTTAACGGGAATTAACGCGATCTCTTATTTAGGGTATTACATACCTCTCAGAGGTATGTAATACCCTAAATAAGAGATCGCGTTAATTCCCGTTAAATAATATTAATTATAAAATTTCACGTTTGTTATTATTATAAACCTCAAAGACACTATTATTTCTGTCGTTTCATTACTAGGTACTTAACAATAGATACACACATTAATATAATGTCCCAGGTTGCACCGGCCGTGGTCACAGTCAGCCTGTGACCACGGCCGGTGCAACCTGGTCGAAACGTCAGGCAAACCAGAGGTATGTAATACCCTAAATAAGAGATCGCGTTAATTCCCGTTAAATAATATTAATTGAATAGTTTTAGTCGAAAAGCTAAGATTAAAAACCTTACTTTGTATGAGAGAATACTTCTGGTCGTAATAATAGCAGTCACTGCTAGTTAATATGCTAACGCAGTGCTTGAAATTTTATAATGAATGAGTTATCATCATCAACAGCCTTTAATAGTCCACTGCTGAACATAGGCCTCTCCTTAGAAAGGTTTTGGAGGTTTTTTATAATAAGTAAGTAATTTAAAAAAAGTCAACATTGCTAATTAATTTTGTTCGAAACTAATCTACCCTTTTATATATGTAGACGTATAGGTTGTATAACCGTTTCATTTATGTAAAAAATTAGATATTTATATGTTTGTAAAAATTCATTGCGGGCGTTTATAAATACATGTAACACAACCACATTTCTAAAAACGTGTAACTATGGTAAACGAACAACAATAACTATGACAATAGACTACGATTACGACAATATGGTTGATTCCGAGGTTTAAATAAATTATTTCGCCTGCATTGAATGTAACATCTTAAAGTAGAGTCTAAATTGTCCTCCATTATCATTTTAATCTTTTCATTAATTTAATATCTTGATATCAACATTAAATATAAATTTGACAATAGCTAGGTATAATGTCACGAAATAGTCTTTCATACAAAAATGTACCGGGTCTAGCGTTTTGACTATGGTTTTGACGTTTAAAAAAGATACAAATATGGCTTAACAGTCATCTACTCTATTATCAAAAATAATAACTTATCTTCCCGGCCTTTTTAAACATCTATAGAGATAGATAACATAGTATGTCGACGACCCCAAATAATAGCAGTCAACTTAAATTATTAAAGTTAGTTCAGTTTTATAGTTCTCGCCAACGTTTATGGCTTGACCTGTGTTTTATAGCTATTTTGTCGTCCATTTATTTGATATATTTCGTGGCCATTTATCAAATACTAACTGAAAGCTGTGTATATATTTTAGTATGTATATTGAAACAGTGACACGGTGATAATGGCATTTCGATAGTGACATTGACAATATCGTAAATTGTTTTAAATATACCTGTCAAAGTAACAAGACATTATATTCCCATTCATCTTTCTGTAGTATCAACTATCGACAGAACGCGTTTTTGCGAAATTGGAACCAGTGAGACGGGTGTTTAGTCTTAACTTATTCTTAAACCGTAGTAAATAAACTAAATGTTCACATAACTAATTATGTATTCTTGTGATTTTTCGTGAGGACCTTTAATTGGCCCGTTGTTTCATAATATATCTATGTATAATCATGAATTGTATATGCTGTTGGTCTTCCAATGAAAAATTTATAGAAATAAAATAAAATAATGACTATATACTTCTACTACAAAAAAATGTCACCGACTACAATGAGCCCACGTAGTCATGAATTTTAATAAACTGTATTCTTCATTCCTTAATTCGTCAACCTTTAAGGGTGGTATTTTTCTTCACATTTGAATAAGACCAAAAGGATCGGACTAAAGGGGAAGTCCCTATACTATACAGGGTCTTCCCCTTTAGTCGGATCCAATTAAAACAGATTTTATTAAATCTATTCATAACTGATGTAGTTCTGTGGTAATAAACCTAAAAATAATATCAATACAACGGAATTGAGATTTCCCGAACGAATTTCCCCCCTTTATTATAGTCGATTATTTTAATTGGGAATTAAGGGCAACTACGAAGATAATGCTTTATAGGTTAATATGGAAACATTCTTATTTGATATTGTAATTATCAGTCTAACATTTTACGAGACCTGGCAGGTATCATAATCGTAATAATTTTGCAGTTAACCGACTGTGGTTCGCTTTCTTTGAGGCTTGTGCTTTATAGACTCCTTCTTTGATATATTACTAATATAATAATAGACTTACCAGCTCCTGCAAGTTCCAATAGCCTTTGTGAATTTCTGTCCAGTTCCGCAATGGCAGCTAGTCTAGCGGCTCTTTCAGCCGCTAGTTGCGACTCAGCCCGTTGTCGTCTTTCCCTTTCTTCAGCGGCGGCTGCCAGAGCATTTGCTAATCGAGTCGCTTCCACGTCCCGTGCACTCGCCTGCACACCGCGGTGACAACGACTAACTTCTACGCGACTGGAAAGAAGACTGTTTGATTGAGGTATTTTACATCCTAATTTATACCGAGGAAAATAATTATTTCTAGAAAATCATTAGAGATTGTTTTTTAACAACGTTCTATATTTGTATTGTCCTTCATTCCTTCTCTCGCATACGCCATCTCAAAATGAGGAACTAGAGAGTGAAACAATCATAGCAAACTTCACAATAAACGTTACAGAAAAATGATGAAAATATTCAAATAATGGAAAATAAAGAATAGTTTCTAGGCATACCTTGTAAAGGAAATAATTATATTTTTCTTTAATACTGCTTACCCCCACAAAACTCGCCTCTATCTTCCCTACCTGTGTATTTTTTTTATGGGACTAATCTCTCCCACACGCCCATTACCGTAACTCCTTTACACTAAGATCAACAACAGTGACCCACAAACACACCAAGTTTTGACACTCTGTAAGTGCTGAGAAAGTTGGAACGTTGGAATGTGTTTTGGAACCCGCAACGAAATTAATCAGAAATAATTTGGAGGAATTGGAAATATCATAAATCCTGAGTATTTGGGTATGTGTAAAAACTCATGTCATTGAACGTACGTATGTTTGATAATGATATTTTACTTACTTTTCAATATTTGGCACAATCCCCGCCAACGCTGACTCGATATCCGTCCCGAGTAGCACTGTTTGCGAGGTCTTCTCTGCGTAGATACGAACTCTCGTCTTGATAGATGACCGTGAAGAAGAAGATCGTGACACGGTGGGGCGTCGCGAAGAAGGTGGGGTGCCTTCATGTCGAGGTGAACCTTCAGAATCTGCATCACGTCGTCTCCGTGGCAACGTAGCGTACTTATCCGCTGCTACTTTAGTTGCATTTGCGTCGGTGTTTGCTGCCAACCGAGGTCCGTTTGCAGGCCACCTCTTTTCCTCACTAGGTGAGTTTGGCGTCCGACATCTAGCAGTCGATGTCTTGGTGGGTTTGGCACGAAGGGCTGGGCTTTCGCGGACTAAGTTTGGCAGATCGGCAGTTGGACGAATTCGTGGCTTCGGTGTGAGTGGACGCGGTTTTTCCGGTAGAGTTGGTTTCTCTCGACTTCTAGCCCGTTCGCGTGTTGCTAAATTAGGACCGCGAGGTGCAGTTACGGGTCGCGGAGGGTTGGATCCTACCGGTGAGCCACGCTTTGGTTCAGTGACATTGACGTTGACGCGACGTCTTGGTCGCGGTGGTGCTCCGGCTAAGGACGAACTCTCAGACCCACAACCCGATCCACATGAGACTACACTTGAAGCGCACGATCGTGATCCACCGCCACTGCTAAGCGCGCGGCCACATCCTTCCACTCCACTATCGCTGCCCGCAGCACCCAATACAAGTTCATCCCCGGCTGGTAAGCTGTCCAGATCTAGAGATCTTGCATCATCATTTACTTCACACGATTCGTTCTCCACAAAAGGTTCCTTAAATATTGCCGGGCTATTGCTGTCACCATTTACAAGTGGCAATGCAGGGTTCTTGGTATCCTCATTCACAATTTTAACAACACTTTCATCTTTTTTACCACATTCTTTATCTTTTTTATCAGTTTTTATATCACTATTGTTTTTATTATCACTATCGTCTTTATTAATATTTACGAGTGCAATATTGTCGGCGAGCCTTTCTACATCTAATTTAGTTTGATTTATAGGAATATCTTCATTGGACTGAACATTTGTGGCCGGTGGCGCGGCCTCAGCGGCGCAAACTGTGCTGTTTTCTTCCATGGTGGGTAAATATCACATGTTCTGTAAAAAACAAAGATATTGTTTGAATATGAATATTAGTGAGCAAAGCAGTGAACCGAGCGCAGTAATTGTAGACTGGTGGCTATTGTGTCCGGCGCTCAGGCACGGTTGCACTGATGCAGTCTCCTGGGACCTTACTGCTATTGTAGAATAACTGTACAATGTATAATCTGAATTCATTATTATTAATTATATACATGTTACAGTAAGGTTTTAATTCTAAAATTTGGCTCGGGAAAGTGCTATACTTAATAGGTATGTTTTAAATGACAAGGTTCACCGTAGCGCCACAGGTTTATGGCTTCGTTTTACGTTCACGTCCGTAAAATACCTGTCAGGCGACGTTTATTCTAGTACAACGCATTCAACAACATAAAAGCTGAGTGAAGTAAAAAGTTAGGTATTACGGTATTAAATGGTGAAACGGGGCACAACGAGCAAAACCTATCGAGGTATTGTATAGCTGGCGCAACTATGTGCTCCAAGCTGCAATGTTACGAGTAATAGTTCTCATGAATCAGAGGCCTTCAGTCGGCCTCGCCTATTCATAGGTTTGTACCTGCCGGTAAGTAAACACTATTTCAATTTATTTGATTTTGTGTTTATTTGTCTATGACCAAGAAAGTGAAATTATTTGTCGCAATTACATCGTATTGTATCAAATCTTAGAGCATATAACATATTCTCGTCAAAAGGGTGTTATGATTAAAATAACCACAATAATTTCTAGGTTGAATGTTGACTTATAAATATACATAATTTATTTAATTATTCGGTAGACATCGTTTACCTGTTGAACTATTAACAGCGTTTTATATCTATACGTAAAAACTATGATAAATCTTGAAACTTGAATATGTGTTTTGAATTGAAGTTGGAAATTTCTTCTCTTCTTTCAAGGTGTGGTAGGTAGTGTTCACTTTCAAATAAAACACAACATAACAAGTTTTTTTATCTGGGTTTTTTCTGGGTATAAAATAAAAAAATAAAAAGAGAAATGTAGATTCGTAAGAATACCAAAGTAACGGATGCGTCAACCTTCTCGTTTGCTAGGAAATGGGAGTAAGAGTACCTAAGAGATGTTAAATGGTCAGGGCCAGAAGGCAAAAGAAGTAGAGGCCGACCTAGCACCCGTTGGGCGGATGAAAAAGTAAAATCGGCTGGTCGGAATTGGCTATCCACAGCCAAAAACAAGGTTGTCTGGAAGGTATTGGAGGAGGCTTTTGCCCGCAAGGGGTCCGCAAAAAACTCCTTAAATGTTTGTATATATATATATAAAATTATTTTTTATAGTATATGTAGTATAAAGTAGACTAAGTATATTCTTTAGTAGTAGTGTAATTTGTGTGGAATTAAAATAAAGGTTTTTTTAAAATGTTATTTATATATACATAAGATTGATTTCGAAAACTACTTAGGTTTATCAAAATGCCTCCTCCATTAATAATAATAGCATAGGTATATAATAATAAATATATATATATATATATAATATATAAATATCACCGGACAACAAAAGACGTGATTACTCACTTCATAAGATATGGAGTAAAAATAAACACTAGGAATCGATACGCTATCGCTTCGCTGATTTAACAAAAACACAGTAGAACAATATACATGCATACCTATATATTTTATTGTAATAGTAATAAATTATTGGAATGCCATCACGTTACTTGTATACCTACTTAACGTGACTGTTTTCGTGTCTGATCTAGAACCTAAAAATGAAAAACATATATATTTACTAGAGTACCTAGTTACAGGACTTCGTAAATAACTCAGCTCGATATATAGAGTCGGAAACAGGCAGAAGGCCGGTGACTATCAAGTACCGGGAAGTAGATATTACACTACACATATTTTTTTTTCAACGACACAATGGAAAGTTGTGCGTTACTCAGAACTTATTAGAAATAGCTTATTTTATAATCATAGTACAGAGGCTAATAGAGAAAATGTATTTAATTGATGTAATATTTCATCATCATCATCATCTCAGTCGAAAGACATAGCCATAGCAACCGGTCCTGTGCTGCCCGCATCCAACGGCTTTCCACGGCCTTCACCAGGTCATCAGACCACCTTGTGGGGGGCAAACCCACTCTGAGTTTCCAAGTACGCAGTCGCCACTCAAGAACTCTGTGGCCCCATCGGCCCTCGTTTCGCTAGCAATATGCCGCCCACTGCCACTAAGTTTGGCAATTCTCTGGGCAATGTCGGTAACCTTGGTTCGTCTGCGGATCTCCTCATTCCTGATTCGATCAAGCAGAGGAACTCCGAGCATTGCCCTTTACATTGCTCATTGGGTGACATGTTATAGTTATTTCATGTAAATTTAATGATTACTTATTAAATTTACATTATTATGTACCTTAATAGGTTCTGCCCCGCTTCAATAAATAGGTCGTAATATAATGTTACTTATAGAAAAACTTATAATCTATTATATTATAAATGGAGAGTGAAAAACTATATTTCAATCATACTGCTAGAAGTAATCATTCTACTTACTGAATGGTGAACTAGGGACTAAAAACCGCACGCCATCTCAATTACCAGTAGCCGGGGAACCAGATGTACCCTAGGAGGGAAATCCCTGGTGCCCCGACGTACCCCGGGCCATCTACGTCAAGTAGATGCCCCCCTCGTGTGTGGGAACCACCGTGGTCTCGATCTACAAACTAAAGGGCGTCGCCAACCCGGTCTGCTTCGGCTAGGGTGACAGATGGCCTCACCTGTCACTCTCAAGGTTGCGCTTATGAAGGACAGAGGTCGTTCTGCGACCTCCGGCGCCTGAGTCGTCTGCGGTACGTGGCCTGGCCGACTGGTGAGTTCTCAAGCATAACTTACTCACAGAAGGAGAACATACCATCACCGTACCATGGTCGCAATCATGGTACTAAGCGATAGATTTCCGACCCCGATGGCCGCCACGAGGGCACGCCTCTGCTTATCCCCCGTGTGTACGGACCGGCCACCGCAGTGGTGACACTCAGGCGTTAGTTCCTTGCGGATCAGACACAAGTAATAAGCGAATCATCCTTTTCCGCTAATCACCCGCGTCAGCCGGTATGAAAGGGTTAAAGGGACATTCCTATTGTGTCATAAATGTATTAAAAGGTGTCTTTTTTATTTCTATGTGTTACTAAATGTACGTTTGTCAGAATGGAATGTGGAGTATATAGTTGCAACTTGAATCACATTGAAACAAGTTGATACCTAAGATTGATTCCGTAATCGGTTCATGTTTATTTCCATTGTTCAGTTTTACTGACGCAATCAGATAACATACTGCAATGCAGACTAGAAAATGGTCTCACCAGAAGGCCAATTCTCTGAATAAAGTTCGGTCTCAATTCAGTTCCGCTCAACTTTCGATCTCACAACTGTATTATTTATTTAGTAAAATAGTATTTTCGTAGTAAAATAGTAAAGTATTACTAAGACCAGCAGATTATAGAAGTTCTGAGACCATTTACTAGTTTATTTATTATTATGCATATTTAATCGGGACATATTATTATTCTTTTCAAGTAAAGATAATGGAACAAGGGAATTAAATGATGTTTAGTTGCTAAAATACACGTAAGAAAACATAAAATTTCACGTTTGTTATTATTATAAACCTCAAAGACACTATTATTTCTGTCGTTTCATTACTAGGTACTTAACAATAGATACACACATTAATATAATGTCCCAACAGTTTAGTTATAAATATATTTAGCAATCGTTAAAGACTACTGATACGGAATTATAAACCTCTTTTATCTTCATTCGCCTTATAAATTGTATTAATGTCGTATTTCCGATATGCGAAAAACACTCATGAAAAATTAACTACAACAAAACATAAATAGGTAGTTTAGAGTTAAATAACTGGTTTTCAGCTCGTACTAATCTCGTTAACATTTATTCTGTAAAGTGTAAAGTCAAATTCATAACAATACATTAATTTTGTAAACAAAAACAATTGGAGTAATTGAGTGAATTCGCGCTTTTCTTCATCAGGGGCAATAAACTCCAAACACAAGTTTTAAGCTAAGCTGAATGGGTTAACAAGAATTTTAGTAATGCGCGACTCGTTACTACTACACTTAAAACCACGCTTTCAAATACTAAGGTTTTTAACTTTTTTTTTCTTTATTTACCGAGCTATGTCAGATTTAACAATACCGCTAAATCACAAACAAACAAACGTATAAATTAACACTAAAATATGTACTTAAATGACATCTATCAAATATACTTGTTGCTTATACTAGATATACAATAATACCATGCTAAAATATTAAACTTTAATTACGTAAAGTCTAATTGTAAGGCTTTTTCTTATGCAACAAAAAGGTGTTCCTATGGATCAAATAGCTTTGCATTCATCTTTTTACTGTTTTTGTCATCTACATCTGTTTATAAAAAGGAATGAAGTATTAAACGCCTTCGACTTGCTTTTAACCACACTTCTTCGATGTAACCTCTTGGTAAAATAATACATTTAAACAACTGAAAAATAAAACAATACCAAATTCAACATTGGTATAGTCTATTTATATGAATGTATCTTCCAATCATCCTCTTTTGTAGTCCATGGAGCCATTTCGTGTCCATTTTAAGCCAATTGTGTATTTAGCTAAAATACCTAAGTAGTTGCATTGATTTAATCATTTTCTTTGTAGTCATTTTTCATATGACGATTTAATTATATATGCTCGTATATTCTACTGTCTAGTACATATATATAACCGCTCTATGTACAATCTACGAAGTCTCAGAAAATGTGATTGAAACAATAGTATTTTAATGAAATATAAATTGTAACTTGAAACTGATAGTTATTTGATAAATACACATACATGTAATGTAATCTTTCTACTCATTACTTAAATAATTTATCGCAGTGGTCTCATCAATACGGGTAATCATGACTACATATCCTTAATGGTGTATCGCCATACGTGATGCAGGGTGATTGG